GAAAACGCTCGCAAACTTCACCAAATTTTCAGCCGAGAAAGTGCACCTAATGTGTCAACCATTCGAAGAGTGGTCAAAAATTTGAAGAAACTGGGTCAATTATGGATAATAAGAATCCTTTGCGTCAACGTACAGGTCGGTCCCTTGAAAACATTGCTGCTGTAAACGAGAGTGTCGCCGAATACCCGAAAACATCAATTCAACGCAGCAAATTTTGACTAAAGAGGAGGACCTTCATGCGTACAAGATTCAGTTAACTCAGGAGCTCAAACCAGTAGACCAAGGAAAGCACCGGCAATTTGCTCAATGAGTAATGGAGCAAAGGGAAGTCGATGCCAATTTTTCGAAAAAGTCATTTTCTCCGATGAACAGAATACATGATCTCACGAAATTCTGATGTCAACTAGCCACCAAGATCGTGCGATTTAACGCCGTGCAATTTTTCCTTAGGGGTTTTGTGAAATCTCGAGTTTATGCGAATAAACCCGAAACCATTCCTGAGCTCAAATCAGAAATCCAACGCGTTATCGGTGAGATACAGCCACATCTCTGTGCAAAAGTCATTGAAAATTTCATGAAAAGTGTAATGATGATAATCGGAACATGCCTTCTTTACAATACAATAAAAATATCACAACTCTGTCATCAAATATTTGTCTTTATTAAAAAATGAAAAAGTGCACTCTTACTGAGACCCCCGTTATTTGTTAAGAATCGTGAATTAGGAGGGTAGTAGTCGCTGAGCCCCACGGTGACCAGCCGGCTTGGGGTGGTTTCTTTCGTTGTTGCATTTGAGTGAATTATGTTGCTTGGTGCGGTCAGTGACGCATAGTAGTTTTTTTGTTGTTTCGGCGTTGTATCCTAAATACGCGCTATAACAATTTTTTGATGTGAAATATTGATTTTTTCACCTTATTTTGAATTAATATCGAAAAAGCACCCTAAGTTTCAATCGAAAATTTACCCGTCAAAATATCAGCTTTTTTCAAAAAGTTGGTGAGCTTTCTGTTCGTTGAGTTCTCTACTTGCCGATGGTAAAACAATAATATATTACTATAGTAAATCTTCTCAGAAAATGCAACAATTCGAAAAAAAACTCAAATTCGAAAACTTTTTGTATTCAATGTCGATTATTTTCTTGCTTGACACCACAAAACGATTCAAAGCTGCTTTTATATCATACACGATTTGTATAATTTGCAAATTATACAAACAGATTCATCCATACTGATTATCTGAAAATACAAAATCGAATTAATAATGCCATTACAATTTTATCGTGATTATAACTTAATTTGTTTGTGCAAAATAAAGGAGATTATTATTTTTTAATCTTGTACCAAAATGTTAAACATACTATTTTTGACAGAAAATATTTTTTTTTATGTTAGAGTTGATTGATACAGATTAAAATAAAGATAGTATTTACCTTGCTATGCAGATTCCAATGAGCAGTGTTGGCCTAGTGGCTTCAGCGTGCGACACTCATACCTGAGGTCATAGGTTCGATCCCGATCGGCTGTGCACCAATGGACTTTATTTCTATGTGCGCATTTAACATTTGCTCGAACAGCGAAGGTAACATCGTGAGGAAACCGACATGTCTTAGACCCAAAAAGTCGACGGCGTGTCGAGGGTGTGGCGCCACTAATTTTTTTGTTTTACATTTTTTATGCAGATTCCAAGTTTTTTTTTAAAGTAAATTTGTCACAATTCTCTTAAAGTAACTCAACCTGCACGTGTATTTTTATAAACGATGTTGTTCACTGCTCTGTTTCTCGAATACTGCTAGGCTAACGGTTTTTACAGCAGCTACGAAATAGCAGGTATACAGTAAGGCCCAGACCCGCCGTCCCAATTCCCATTTCTCTATGAAATACCTTTTGATGGGCTAAAATTTTTCGTAGGCCACTCAGGTATATAAGTTATCTTAAAATAGTAATAAATAGTAGTTTTGCCGGAAATCCAGATAAACCGTTTTTTACCCTTAAAAACTCACCCCCTTCCCCTTCCCGACCTCAGATCGCCCGTAAATTATATTTCCTTTAATTTTTATAATATTCTGCTCCTTTTCCAATGGGTTTCATCCTACTATTATTTTTTTTCACATTTTATTGTTTTTTATGGCTTCTACCCTGGTCTATAATTAATTAATTAATTTATAATTAGGTTACACAAATGTTTTTTTTATATTTTGTTTGATATTTTTATGTATCATTTTCATAGGTAGGGGAAGGTCGGGACCCTTCGTACGGTTTTCACATTTTATTTTTTCTTTTTTTTCTTTTTCCATGAATCAATCATCTGATAGCTTAAATTTATAGTCTTACTATCTGAGATTCTGAGATTAAAAAATGACAAATGATTTCATCTGATGTTTCAACCATAATTATGATTTAAACTAAATCTGGAATACGTACGAATCTGCTCCATCAACGGGGCACCTTCGTACAGTGTTGGGGGTACATTCGTACGCTGTGGGGTAGTTCCGTACGTGCGATTAAAACGACACATATAAATCAAAATTCATTTGTTAGCAATGAAATTAAACACAAAAATAAAGATTTAACTTCTATTAAACAAAAATAAAATAGTTTTCTTATAGTGAACAAAAATTACATAGCTTTTCTTAAGTAAAACAAAATTTAATTAGTTAGGTATCTTAAATTTAGAATCACATTATTTAATCTTTGGTGCGGATTAGCACTTCTTATTTTCGGGCGTGGCAGTATAAATTCGTGGTTTTCCTGGCCGTCGTCGTCATTTTGTTTGTTTTATTACTTCTTACAACATGCGGATAGGGTCGAAACGCTTCTGGTGTCAAAACTGACTTCGAAGGAACTACTATTTGATGGATTGGTAAATTATTCAAAGCATCTGGTTCACAAGCATCAAAATCAACCTTAATAAAGATAATAAAAATAGGTATTAATATATATTTACATCGACGATAGCAATGATAGCAACACAGGACAAAGTTAATGCAAATATTAGCAATTAGCACACTAACACAATCTTTCCTACTACCAGAGGGTTTAGTCAAGATGCCTTAACAGTAGTGTATGTAGCAAGTCGAAAACTTAATTTGTATGAAAATGACAGTTTGTGTCGACAAAATATTTTCATACAAATTTAGATGTACAATTCGTTCAAATGTGCCCCATCTAGTGCTGTCCGAAAGTACCCCACTAACTGAATAACAACAAAATATAACGAATTTTAATATTAATAGGAAAACGTCATAAATTAAGTATTGGAGACGTATCTTAAGTATATTTTGCTAGTTACTGATAGAATACTCTACTCGAAAACTTATTTTATCTACGGTAACAAGAGACAAAAACATTGATCAAAAAATTACATACCGAACGCGAAAACACGTCTATGCCTGTAACTTCACTCTCATCGGTGCGAATTTCGCGAAACTTCGGTGATGTATAGTTGGTACCTCGACTCATGCACACATACAAAAACAAGACTGTACTTTGTTTCGTACAAGTTTTATTTTGACTGTATGAATGTGCCCCGCGTACGAAGGGTAACGATCTTCCCCTATATTTTATAACTTCAGGAAAAGTAAAACAAACATTATTAATAATAATTTAATTGCAAATCAAAATATTTAGTAAATATAATAATGTAAAAAGGCCTCGTGACTACCGTTTAAATTGATCCCGTGTTTTTTTCATTAGCACGAGTATTAAAACATAGCACTTATAAGTTAATCAAAATATAAATTTATCACAGGTGCCAGGAAACTACACATAAAAGAGCAAACCCAAAACGTGTTCATTAATTTTGAATTGGCTAAAAATTTCAACATTTTAAATATTATTTGAGCATTTAAAAATATCCTTTCGGTGAAATCTTCCGCTCCGTAACACAATGTCACAATAAAAATGCCATCAATGGGAATGTAACAGATAACTTAAACGCCGATTAAAGCCACTTATATAAAATTTAATAACTTATTAATACGTAACAACATCGATTAAATTAATAAATAAATAATACTTTGTGCAATTGATTTGTAAACATTATAGTTACCACATAAATTAGTACCAGACATTTAAGCAGTTAATACTTACTTAAATAAAAAGCGCCGGTATAACATATATTAATTTAAATGATTATTAGATAGACATCACAAGTGGGCTGAAAAGTTCGTAGGACATTGTATACCTACATACATAGACACAATATTTTTTTTAGAGAATTTGATTTGATTGTCCAATAGTTGCCTTCGAGAGCGATACAGCGATTATAGCGGTCATAAAAAATTTCGAAACTTTATAGTACGAGCCTTTAGCCTCAAAATGGGCTTAAGTTTGATTACCTCTTCTCCAGCGCAAAATTTCTGTTCAACGAGCTTTCTCTTGAAGTCTGCAAACAGGAAAAAGTCGCTGGGGGTCAAATCTGGAGAATATGGTGCAATAAATTTGGATTTATTACGATTGAACAGCTTCAAACACTGCTCAGAATCATCAATTCGTTTGTTTTGGTCGATTATGAGCTCGCGCGGCATCCACTTTGAACAGAGCTTTCGCATATACAAATACTCATGTAGGATATGTCCAACACGTTACTTTGATATCTTAAGGCTCTCAGCTATCTTAATCAACATTTCTTTTCGATTATACAAAATTTATTCGTGGACTTTTTTTGATGTTTTCGTCGGTCTTTGGTGCGTCCAGTCTAAAAATCATATTAGTTTATACTATTGCGCCAACTATGTGTCAGCCTACGAACATTTTCAGCCCACCTAATAGAGCCAGAGTATAATTTACTAACGCAACGAAACAAGTAGACATATTATAACGTTGTATGAGAGAATACTACTTGTAACCTATCCTACAGCCTGGCAGCTAGTATTACTCCTCTTGAAACGAAAAGACGATTTACCGTAAAAGCTTTGGTTTACACCTTATAATAAGCTATATCTAGAGATTCAAATTTAAACATGAAACGACAATAATGGAACCCTTAGAGCTGCCGCAATTTTACCACAATTTGTTATGATAATATTTCAAATCGACATAGCCATCCTTGGTAAGGGATGGAGTAGGGTGAGATGAGATCGAACCATGAGAAGTTACGTCAATGCTGATCTGTTCAGAGACGGGACGTACTTCGAGAGAAGACGGCCTCTCGAGGTGCTTTGCTTCGGGAACATTAATTGTGCGCTCCGGTTCATTTATAAGCTTTAGTTCATCAATAACGGGTGATTGATCAGCATTCGTTTCACTTGTTGTCTTTGGTCTGGCTGGAATCTCCGTATTATACCTACAAATATTTAAGTAGCTTGCATGTGTAACAATTGATTAACAAAACATCAATATTACAGAATTCATTATAATATTAATATGTACTACATAAATGAATTTTAAATTATATTAAACTCAGTAAATAAGGCAACAAAAAGTTAAAGCAAGCATCGGGGCTAGTTCCACTTCACACGAAAAAACATATCAAACGAAATATGTATATAGAAAACTACGGTTCATAATGGGTATTTTATTTGGGCTCTATTATTATCATTCAAATATTGTTGATAATTCACTCACTCACTCGGAAATTTCATTTTCTCGTAGAATTGCAATTAATTCGAACCCGTGCCGCGTAATTAAAAATATCGACTCCTAGATATAGTGCATCATAAAACAAAAATTATACATGGATCATATTAAGCATGAATTTTCTAATTAAAATAAATTGTAAATCTAAAACTATTAGGAGCTTAAGATTCAGAGAAAGTTTCGATAAAATTACATACATATCTAAAAATTAAACATTTCGTAAATAACGTTGAATTTAATTACAAACCAAGAATGATCCTCAAAATATAAAATGCTCATGTTTCACAGATCATGGCGCTTACCATGTTACTTCCTTCCTATTGGAAGTAACAGTAGCGCAGTAATTTTAATTAATTAAACTACTACTTATTATTTGACCTAAATTAAACCAATGTCCCGTTTTGAGTCGGAGAATAAATGGTCGCTTTAGACATAAGTAATGAATGCAGCATACAAAATCATTTTTTTTTCTATTAAATGAGACATTTGTCTTCTAATTCATTTGGCATTCTGATATTATTAAGGGCTCTTCTTGATTACAATTATGAATATAAAAAACCGAAGCTAACTTCTCTGGATATTAATCAGTAGTGTCACAAAAAAAAATAACGTCTACGATAATTTGCATATAAGTTTCTTTCCATCTATCCATAGCCGTGTGCAGGGTTCAATCAATTCGTGCCAGGTGCAGTTGTCTTTTTTTTTCAACAGCTGATTCCTTCGTTACAGCCGATTATTCTAGTATCTATTGTGACATATTTTATATGACTAAATTGTAACAAAAAATAAAAAGTAGCAAAACAAACCCGAAAATAAAATATATATAGAATGTATCCTCACCGCGTGCTATCGCCTCCGTGTATTACCTGTAAAAAACGTTTTTTTTATTTGTTATTTAAACTTTCTAGATTTGGATGTGTACGCTTCATACTCCTACGGGGTCAGTGCACGTCAATATCTTAAATTCTTTTCCTAATTTATTTAATCTTATATTTTACTATGGGTGGTTTCTTTAACACTGCAAAACAGTAGGGAATCAGGATTGGTATGTATCTTACATTTACATTTAATAATACTATTTATAAATTAGTTCCTATTGTATTTGATAATCCTTAAGTTCACTTATACTGATCATGTCGTCATTTACCTTTGATTCGTATTTGTATCTTAAAGAATATTTTTGCAAGTGTTGTTCTCAAATTAATTCGGGTAAAAAGGCGGCTTTCATTTTTAGTTTGAATTTTATTAAAACAAGTAGACTTCAGCCTATGTTAAATGTATTCAATATATGTATTTTAATTCTAAAACTATACTTTATCTAAGTACACAAAAATAGTGATCTTAACGATTTCAAATTTATTTTTTAAGTTAATAATTTATTTATTTCCACACAACTATATTGGTTACATAACAAAAGAGTGACTGAGAGTTGCATGCCATTTCTTCTCGTCCGTTCTACGCACTTGAGAAATGGTGTAAATGTAAGACACAGTCGTTAAAATACTAACAATTTTGCCTCTGCCTGTTTGACATCGCTTTATACATTTATACATCACGTTTTAACTTTCAGAAGATGAAGCTAAAAAAAATACGCAATGAGCAAAAAATGTCACAATTTTTGTTACAAATTTCGTTTATTAATACAGCATCGCCTTCTGCCACTACGTAATGTAAAAATTTAAATTTTTCTCATAATATGAAATGAGAGCGTGCGAATAAGACGACTGTGGGACCTTCAGTAAGCAAAACAACAAGTGACACAGGCAGGGCCGCGCCGCCCATATGTGCGAAGTGTGCGGTGCACACAGGCGCTAATACAATAAGGGCGCCGCCACCGAAATTATTTATACTACACTACAATATTCTTACGTACGTTTGAAGTTTCATTTTACGCTTTAGGTTTTAGTTTACATTAATTACTCAGAGCTTAGCGAATCAAAAGAAAGGCCGCTGGTGACCGCCGTGAGTTTTTTGAGTGTGTTTATGTCTTATGATTTCAATAATATGCCGACATACCTTGATAAAATCCAAAATGAACTATTCTTTATACTCGGTAACCAAATTCAACATTTTATTTTAAATTTATGTCGAATTAATAAATATTTTTCAATAATACTGGATTGTACTACTGACGTTTCACACGAAGAGCAAATTAGTATGATAATAAGATTTGTCAACTTTAACATGTAAACTTGAAAGTTAAGAATAAAAGAGCATTTCCTAGCTTTCCAATTTATAATAGCACTTTCTGCCCAATCGTAGATACAACTGGCGCTGGAGTAACGTCATTTATAATAGAAAAACTAAACGAAATTAATTTGGACATAAAGAACTTAAGGGGGCAAGGCTATGATAATGGCTCAAATATGCGCGGTAAGAATATTGCGGGATGTAAATCTCCGCACTTTTTATGTCCGTGCGCCAGCCATAGTTTAAATTTAATAATAGGTAAATGACGCTGCACATCTCTTACACGACTGGGTTTTTTAATATTGTGCAAGTACTATATAAATATTTTTCGTCCTCTACTAAAAGATGGGATTTATTACAAAGATATGTCATAAATCTGACCTTAAAAACGGTTAGATAAAAATAACATCATAAATAAACTATGTTACAATTTAATTCACGTTTTATTTTTCACGGCAATTGGCCAGCGGACGTTTTACCTATTTAAGTGGATTAAACTAAAGAAAATTTTTCTTTCGGTCAAAATTAAAAAATACATTGAAACTTGAAGATTCTTAAAAAATAGGCCGAAATATAGAAGGAGTTCCCTCAAAGGCCTGCAACACACCCGCTAAAAATGTCTATGAGATTGAATGACTGCCATTTTTGTCCGTCCCTAAGGCTCGTTTGCCCCCTATAGAAAAAGGAGGCGCTTCATGGGTTTCGCACCCAGGCGCTGCCGGGGGTCGGCGCGGCCCTGGACACAGGCACTACGGGTTATTAATATAAACGAATTTAAAAATAATTTTTTAACCTAGAAATACTACAATGTCAAGCTACGATCGATTTATCACGAGTGCCTGGCACACAACTAGTGTAACACTCACCCAATTCATTGAAGATGGTGGTTGTTGTGCTGCATAGCGACCCACTGACCCCACTGCAGCTAGGGTTGGTGTAGATCGCCCGGAAGTGGAATTATTTCTGCAATGCATTCTTTATAAGTATAAGACAATATATATCTGAAAACAGATAACATTAGAGTTTTTTTAAGCAATCTTCAATTTTATATATTCTTAAAAGGTCGGCAACGCAGCCGCGAGCACTCTGGCTTTTAGTGTCCATGAGCGGCGGTATCAATAAACAGATGAGCCTCCTGATGTTTGCCCCCTGTTCTATAAAAAAAATATTCAAAATAATTCCAATTAATTGAACTTCATCGTCACAATTATCATGTGTCAACATACAGACTATACTAAAAGAAATACAATTTCTTTACATAGGATTAATTTTTAATCTTACTTTTTTTTAATCTATGTGTTAGCTTATTTTAAAAGGAAAATGTTGAACCTCAAATATAAATGTCTAGGTTACTACAGCTGACAGTAGCTTTTCATAAAGTCTAAAGGTAGTGTGAGCTCGGCAAAGAAGTTAAAATTTATTAATTTATTAATACAGAGTAATAGGTTAGTCACAAAAGTGTTCAATAAATAGTGATAATGCGATACATAGTTTTTGAAAAGAAAATACACACGTAATATATTAGATACAAAAAAACAATAAATTTTTGTTTGTTTTTAAAATAGAAGTCATTTGTCAGCGTCTCTTGCGCTTCTAAAAATATATAAAATTGAATTAAGCGCGGTAATAAAATATATCTGCTTGAAAAATTCAACTATGGAGCTGGTAAAGAAGACTAATTGAGAGGAACATTAGAGGATCATGCTCCTCCATATTCTTTGGTTGCGCTTTAGTGAAGCTCAACTCGACACACCAACGCGAAGGTGATAGTGTTCGTTTTATTGCAAAAGAAATGAAGATTTCTATAAGTGGCCATATATACAGCATTACAGCATATGTATATAATTAAGATTGCGTCATCCTCATTATCACTTTTATTGAACGATAGATATTTACGTCTGAAATGCTTTGTTTATATCCTTGGGTGGCAATCTGATATTTTGGTCGTCTCTGAAACGATTACTGCACCCATTACACAAGTCCTTTTATCCTAATTTAAACAGAACTTGTATAAAATAATTTATTTATAGGCACGAATCTATTCATAGTGATATTTTTTTTGGAAATTCTAATGCATATAATTCCTGGCTACTCAGCATGGAATTACTTGTATAGCTGTACTTGTACAGATAATAATATGTACATTATGTATTTTCTTCAACACACATACACAAGCATTAAGTTACAACAAAACCAACAATGTTTTGTCAATCAGCTGCAGTAGGATGCGTTCAAAGTTTACTTAAAAATTAACTAAAAATACATAGAGATTCATAATAAAAGAAGAATGTTCTCTAAATAACATTCTACCTAACTTCCAAGTTATCATTTCAAAAATATTGGTTTCCTATTAGGCTGATTTTAGTAATTATCGTTTAACGTTGGCATACTTCAAGAATAAAATTAATATAAAACTTACATTGACTGAACATTCTCGAAAAATTTTGTAGACACTGCAAAGCAGTTATGCTGTCTCAATAACTTTCCGATGTTATAATGCTTTTGCAGAAAATTTTCAAATTTCAGAGAAGGATTATCAATCGCTATTTTATCGACTGTAGTGCATTGATCCTGTTAAAGACAACACATTATACAAACATAAGAATTACTATCATTTGCCATGCTTCACGTAGCATTTATTATAAATAATATAATTTTTAGGCATACACATTGTTTTAGAACGTATAAATAAATAAATTTAAAATCTCACAAAACAACACAGATACAGAAATCTCATCATTCTTTTGTTATTGATTTGAAGGAATTAGTAAAATTGTGTAGAACACTATATTATAACTTATTAACACGTCAAATTTAACAATTGACCCAGATTTCAAAGTAATAATAATTGTTATAAGCTGTAAATTTTAATATCAAAAAGAGTCTTACGACATGAAGACATGATATACGGTAAGTATAATATTTATTAAAAAAAATATATGAATACTTACATCTAACATATAATCAAAAAGTTTCTTCCCAAAGCCCAGTTTCTGGTACTCCTCAAGTACATAAAAATCAAGTATACATAGAGGACTGACTTTGTGACAAATCAAAGATTCGTCATGCAAATATAGGCTTTTAACACCAATTTTAAGGATGCCTATAACTTGTCCAGCACCGCTGAAATTTTTTTTAATTTACCACATTTACACAATATTTTTACATTTACTATTTGTAATAGTTACAACGAAGGAAATCTTATCTATAAATTTAATAATAAACAAAATATAAATCCTATTAAGCCTGTTTTTGTTCCCAAAAAATAAACTTTAATGAATACTTAGTATACATAAAATATTTAAAGGTTATTTAATATATAAATAAAGAAACACCCCCAAACAAAGAATAAAGTTATTACATACACCTTTTAATTGTAACACATCATGTTTACAATTAAAAGGTGATTTATTGTTTTAGGCAAGATGGGGCACAAAAGTACAGGTTCTACAAGTGACACATTATGTTTGCATTTTAACACTAATTTAGTATTTTAGAATATTAAATCTTTATTAGTACAAAAATTTTTTGTAAATAAATGTTTATTTTAAACATGAAGATAATGATTTGGTTTTTTTTTATTAGTTTCTGATTGTTACAATACTTACTTATTTCCCTCAGCATCTTTTAAAAGATACAAAATATGTTCTGAAGAACGCAGTTTGTCCATGCTGGTTAAGGTCTTGCTAAGACCTTGAGCCTTTGTAGACTTTTCTCCAATCCAGTCCACAACATTCTTCAAATACTCCTGGACTAACCTGAAAATATTCAATATTTTTATAAAAAAAACTATAATACAATATTGCATCTTCTCAAGATTGTTGAAGAATGTCATATGGAATTTCTTCCTATTGTTGAACATTTATTGATTTAGCTTAGGCACAGAAGCCTGATAACCAACTTAGAAAAAGAAAAAATACCAGAATAACAAATGCAAATATAATATGTGTGTGAAACTTTCTCCAATGAGGCAATGTAGCTCTGAATGAACAATTCACACTATCAAGGATGAAAAGCATCATAACTAAAACAACTAAATCAAGCAACTAATTGAAGATTAATGGTAAATGGAAAAATATTACATGTATCAACTGCAAAGGCCTCTTTCAACAACCATAAAAAATCTGCAGGTATTCCCAACCCATTTATTTAGTATATAAAAATGTTAATATAGATTAAGTAATTAATAATATAGATTATGTAAGTTATGAATGTTACATATTGAGTTCAATTTGTAGTAATATTTGAGTGCATTATAGCTTGGGAAACCACTACACACTGGACATTACTCTGGCTAGTAAGTTATATTTTTGGTAAAAAAAGTTCTGCTTGTACATAAAATCTACAATTATTCAGTATAGACAAACATATTGATTATGATGTATATAACGCATTAAGCAACACATTATATAGGATTTGGGTAATATTATTAGGTACAATTTGAATTAATTTTAAATTTTTCATTTCTTAGCAGCCATAATCAAACCTTGATGGAGCTTTTAAAATCCAATGCACATTGTTTACTTTTTGTATTTATGTTTGATTTGTTGTTATATATTATAATAATGAAATTTCATACTTCAGACTAATATCAAGTGAGCTACTAGTTTTTTTTTAAATTTATTCACTTAGTTCACTTTCCAAAGATTATTTCTATGTGACAGCTGTATTCATAATAAATAATTTACAAGTACATTTACCAAACCCATTATTACCCCAGCCACTTATTCATCATGAAATTATTTACCAAGTATTATTAAATTTTTATGATTTGATATCATTACCAAACTATAAGAGTTGGTTATAGTTTTTTTTTCTCCTTTATTTATCAGCCATCGAATTCACTTACTCATAATCTGATGTGTTCTCTTAATGAGTGGCTAATGTTCCAGTGAACATCATGCCAGATTCCATCACTAGTCCAGGGTTAGAATTTGTTTTCATTCTAGTTGGATTACATCTTTACTATCTAGAAGGTTTTTAGCTAGTATATTGCTATGTTCCTTAAGCCTGTTCATGTATCTTGTACTACGAGCATTGAGTGTTTCTTTTATAGTTTCCATTTCCAGGTGTTCGCGGAATTCAGTATTTCTAACAAACCAAGGAGCACTGGATATGGTTCTCAGAGCGATATTTTGAAATATCTATAGTATTTCTACATTGGAGTGACTTGCAGAGTCCCACAGTTCAATGCCATATGTCCAAATTGGCTTGAGTATAACTTTGTATACTAGTTTATTATGCAGGGACAATTGTGATCTACGTCCTACAAGCCAAGATAGGCTATTAAACTATAGATTTGCTTCTTTTGATTAGGTGTTTATGTGGCTAGCCCATGTTGATCTTCTAGGGTCATATCAAGATATTTGACAGTTACTTGTTGGCAGTACTTTGCCTCCCAGATGTTCAGGTGCACATTCTCCTCTTCTGAGAGTGGAAGTAACTTGTGCGGATTTCATAGTGCTATATTTTATCCTCCATTTCCATAGCCAAGAATAAATTTTTTCAAGCTGAATTTGTAGTTTCTGTAAAACTTGTACTGGGTCTTCATCACTAGCAAGACATGCTGTATCATCTGCATATGTGGCAGTCTGTCTCTACATCATTAGTTTTGGAAGGTCTGTGGTAATAGTAACAATGGAAAAGCTATCACTGACTCTTAACCTTATTTCTAAGACTGTGTGAAGTATAAAATTGTGTTATTTCTTTATGGTTGTAATACCTTCATAAAAATTGTTGATAGCTTTGGAAGAGGTTAGTAATGAAAGCAATTTATTAAATTAATGCTTTCATTATTAACGGAAGCATTAAATTACATTTGTCACATAAACAATTTTTTTTCTAACATCTCATTATATTTCATTCATTTTATGAAAACATTATAACTACAAATTCAAAATGGATATCTAAACATAAAGTATGTGGGTACGCATCCTCTGACCTTAAAAAAATCAATATCAATTTCAACGTTACCTTAAACGGGTCGGAAATGCCTGCAATTACCTAGTTTAAATAAAATATAATAATTCTAAGTTATTTAATGCACGATTATAAAATACGATGTCATACCTTATAAAAATCATTACATTACAAAGGCTCAACTTCTATAGTCGAATCAAGGATCGATATTTTTGTACCGTTGCAGAATCTTACCTTATTTGACTTACGTTCCCCTGAAAATCTGCAGGCAGGAACACATGGTCTATCTTAGAAATTTCTTGCTTAAGCACAGTATTTATTGTAAAGTTCATCATTATAAATCGTATGTAATAATTTTTTTGTAAAATTTGTACCAGATCAATGTCATACACACACAATAATAAGATTTAAGTGAGAACCACGGGTAATCCTTCGAACAAAGTAAAGAGGCACGGCAAAAAGCGGAATTAAATTTGTAAATTTTGACAGATCCGCCATATTTGTCGTTGTCATGGGGGCTCAGTCAAGATGACTTAACAGTTAACAGTAGTGTATGTAGAAAGTAGATTAATAATCTATTCAATGGGTTGGGTGCGATAATAGTGCGTTGAAATCTGATGATAATGATTATGCAGGAGTCTCGGGGACCACCTCCAAGTAATTTTAGCTGCCGGAAATGCGTCAAAGTATTTTTTTTTAAAATTTAAAGTTTTGTGAAATGTATTGAAATTTGTAAACAATCCACCATTATCTACTTTTCTATTGGTTATAAGAGATGTGTCATTCTCGTTTTCTGTTGGTTATAAGTGATGTGACATTCTCGGTAAATTAATCGGATCGATTATTTTCTCATTTGTTAATTTTATAGGTGAACCTAATTTAATCATTACTTGTCAAATGTACATACATTACATTAACTTCATGTTTCAATTAGTGTATGGTTCCGAAATTTTTTAAATTATTCAAAAAGTACCCAAAACCGAATCAGAGCACCCCACTATCCACGTGGTCTTGTCTGCCTTACCCCTAGAGTGTATATAAATAATCGGAGGCGCGGAGGAAGAGCAGCCCCCACCCGCTGTAACGGAGGCTTGAATAAAATGCCTGTGCTTTGGTACGCAAGGGTGGAGGGGCTGCATTTCCCGTAGCGCCGGAGCTGTCCAAAAAAACAAATATTATTTAGATCGGTTAGGTTAGGTTAGTATATGAATATTCATGAATATGCAACTCGGCTTCTTGACTGAGTTGCCGAGGGCTGAATAAACAATTATTATTTAGATGAATAGGTGAGATTTTTAAAAAAAATTTTTTTGTTTCCGGCGCGCAAAATTTGTGGGGGGTGATTACTACACCCCTCCCCCCTCCTCACCACCCCCGCAACCCCAAATTTGGGCGCATCGTTTTCGAATCGTTACCGTTTTTTGACATCCTGGGTGTTATTGCATTTTTTAAGGGATCCCTATTATTTAAAAATGTAATAGAAATTTTGAAATCGATCCAGTTTTTGTGTGAAAAAATTACAAACATACATACAAAAACACAAATTTTTCCTCTTTACCATATTAGTATAGATTATACATACTTTCTGAATTTTTATATCTGTAATTAGAACTGATATACTGTATAGACTTAATGCTTATTATGCTAAGTATGTTCAACTCTGACTTAATTCATGAACATTAAAAGTAGATACTAATAACTAATTAATTCATTTTGGTAATTGGTAGTTATTTTATTTAAGATGTTTTGTTACTTTAAATCTAATCTAAAAAACTATAATTAAGTATTCCTATGAAACACTCGTACAAATTAAATATGCATTTTCTCTCGGCGTTGCAATGTTCACCACACTGCACACTGAATCCATTCACTATAAGTTGATGAAAAGAGTTTTACCCATAATTTTAGAGCTATGTTTAGACACTTAAATCTTGAAAAATATGATTCTCGTATGTAAATTTCTATATGTTTTTGATAAACAGGAGTCATACTTAGCGCTAAGTATGGACTCAAAGGGTAAGGTTACATTTAGGCTGTAATTTGTTTTTCCTTTCTTCTATAATGAGGTGTCTAAATGAGGTTGTAGGTTCGAACCCCAGCTGAGCACTAATGGACTTTTGTGTGTGTGGCATAGAAGGCTGATTACCTACTTGCCTATTAGAAAAAACTAATTTTCACCAAATAGTTTAAGACCAGGGTTTGTATAGCCAGTTTGTTTATGTTAAAAGATCAACATCAAATGAAAAGCATAAAATTCTGATTCAATTATAGGTAAAAATCTATCAGTTTATTGCTCTTGCTGAAGTTGTTTCCTCATATATATATAATAAGTAATAAATATTATAATTACATTTAGATAAACCAAATAAACAATTGTAGCATACAAAGCTTATTTATTTAAAAAAAACTATACTAATTACAGATATCAAAAATGTATTATGTTTGGATCATAATTCTCAACTGAGATTTTTAATATTAAAATTAGCCTAAGAATACTTAAACATGTGGTGGGAATTTCTAATATATAAAATTATAAAGGCCATTGTATGACCTCTTTTACTAGAGTTATAACTCCCAACTTCCAATTTCATTCCTAAGCCAAGATCAAAATATGTAACATAACAAAATTGAACACTACATTTCAAAACTAGAAATAATAAAGTAAAATTACTACTAGAACAAGAGAAAAAAAATAAAAAGGAAAAAAAAAAAACTATACCATGCCTAGTAAATCTTAAACATACTATTAAAATATAATACTTTTTAATTCACTTTAATAAGGTCTACCAGCGTGGTCTCCCTCTCCCACGACCACCTCGACCATGTTGCCTTGTTGACTTGTTGGCTTTAAAACGGTCAGCCATTTCTCTCAACTCACTAGGAACCTCTTGGTGTGCTTCTTCCAAAATTTTTATCAATTCACCGGCATTTGCCCAATCATGTTTTGTCACTAAAGATAATGCTATCCCTGTCCTACCGGCCCTTCCTGTACGCCCAATTCTATGAACATACTCCTCAATTTTCCTTGGAAAGTCTAGGTTTATAACATGAGTTAAGTTTTTTATATCAATCCCCCGTGAAGCAACATCTGTGGCAACTAAAATGTTGACTGTTCCATCCATCATATCTTCAAGAGCTGCTTCACGATCACTTTGATCCCTGTCACCATGCAATGATTCACAATAAAATCCCTTACATGCTAAATCTGCTGTGACATCAGAAGCTGTACTTTTTTTGGCACAGAAAATCAAAACTTTATCAGTAGGATCCATATTACGTATAAAGTCAAGGAGAATACTATCCTTTTCTTCTTCCATAACAACCCTTACTTTTTGGGTAACTGTGTGCACTGCTGCTAAGTCCAGGGACCCGACGTTTACATATACAGGATTGTGCATGTACTTGTCAGCTAGCCGGCGAACAGCAGAAGGCCAGGTGGCAGATGTCATAACACATTGGTGTTCAGGTCTCACATTCAACAAACAAATATGGATCTGAGGTTCAAAGCCCATATCTAGCATTCGATCCGCTTCGTCTAATACAATATAGGAGAAGTAGGAAGCATCTATATGATTTGCTTTGATCAAATCAATCAATCTTCCAGGGGTTGCAATAACAATATCCACCCCCTTTGATACAATATCAATTTGTTCCTGCCGATCTACTCCCCCATATATGCAAACACTATTAATGCCTTTGTAATGATATTTGTTGACTTCTCTCTGAATTTGTATAGCTAATTCTCTTGTCGGAGCTAGAATAAGTACAGTTGGCCCTGGTCTCTTTTCTCTAGGTGTTGGCTGCCCTTCAATATGAATTAAAGCAGGCAACAAAAAGGCTAAAGTTTTGCCAGTTCCTGTTTGTGCAATACCAATCATGTCTTCTCCTTTTAGTAAAACGGGCCAAGCTTGGCTCTGAATTGGAGAAGGTTTTGTAAATTCTTGTTTACGTATTTCATCAAGTATTTCTGGATAATCTTTAAATGCTTGCTCAAAGGTCAGCACGGGATTTGGTATTGCCCCAGCTTCCACGTTTTCTGCTATTCTTGTTACTTTAATGTCAAAGTTACACAAGCGCCAATAAGCAACCTCATTTGGGGGCATTGCAGCAACTGTAGGATCCTCATTATAAAAGTTTTTCACAATAGGCGGTAATGTAGCCCACCTTTCTTTTTGTACCTGATCAGCATAAGCAGATGCTTTAGCCAAATCTATAACTTCAACCCCTTCACTATTCACATAAGTAAATAGACATGCACTTGCCATCTTGCCATCCTGAGAATCAGTCCCTGAAACCGACTGTGCATTCTGTTTTTTAGACGCCTCTTTATCAATAGTAAGATCTTTAATCATTTGTTCAACTTTTGTAATCGCAGAATCAGTTCCAAATAGCGAGATATCTGTGTTGTCACCTGCTGAATTGCCAATTTTTATTTTGGCTTCACTCTCATATTCTAAATCGCGGATTTTTATTCCTCCTCGACCTATCACTCGCCCAATTTTAGTTGAGGGTATTGATATGACTTTGTTATTACCACGAAGATACCCTCTGCCACGTGCTGTAGTAAAATTTCTAGAATACTGACCGTCTCTTTGGCCTCTGACAGAATAATTTCCTCTCGATGGGAAATTTTGTTCAGGCGGTGGTATATTTTGTTGTACCGGTGTATAGTCATCGCCACAATCAGAATCCCAGTCCGACATGTTTTATTTTATTCTGATACAAATATATAATAATATCATCTATAGAAATATAGCTATTCAACTATGAGTATTTTCCAAAGAATTAAGTGTATGATTTGCTTACTTCTTATAAACAGCCACCACACCGCTACAGTACAGGCAAAGGAACTAAGAAGTAAGAAGTGCAACGCGCAATTCGCAATATCAAAATCGCGTCTCAGTGTTGCCAATGCCAAGTGGCAGTGTGACCGTTTTAAAAAATGGTAATCTACTAAAACTACAAGGCGCCAGTACTAAATAATACCAAAACACATGCTGAATTATACTAAAAATATACTAAAATAAAAAGTAAAAGAGGAAATTTTTGAAGTGATACTTCTTTAGGCGCGTTATGAAAATTTGATGAGAGTGAAATTTTACGATGCGCGCGCACCGTGACACAAAATTAACAGAATGAAGTTGCCCACGGAAGATGCTACGGCATTAGATATAATTTAAAAACAAAATTCGAATAATAATAGAATTTATGTTACACTTAATGTAAGAGAATAATAATAAATATTTATTTATTTAATTTTTCAAATGTAAACTGAATTTTATTGACTATTATGACTTCCAGTCTTTGATTATTTAATTGTAATTAATTATTTGCATGCAATCAAAAACTATTTTTAATAATGCCAAAGAAGTATAACTTCTTACGCGCGTACATAAGTACACGCACCCTTTTTTTTATTAAAATACTTATTATTAGTTACTTTTTAATTTTACCAAATAAACACCTTCATTATACAGACAATATATTAAAATAATAATAAATATTTACAATAAGTTTCATTACAAATAGTCAGTATTCGACTGAGCTAACTGAGCAGATTTAGTGCGTTTGCAGGAAAAGCCCTTAGCGAGATCCGAATCATAAAACATTTTGCTGAATAAAGCACTGAGATGATCCATGGCCCGAAATGGTTCTGCCAACGCTGCATAAAATATAAGCTCTGCTTTTCTTACTTCTTCAGATATGGGTTCTTTCCTTTGAAATAATTTACCATCAATCTGAAAATAAACAGGATTTGATTAATTTTCCTATAGTAAAAAAATTGTAAAATAACTATCTATTTCTTATCTTGGGAAACGAGTGTCTCATTCAGTTGAAAATGAATATTCTTGATAAAAATATTACATATATTTGAACCCTGCAAAACTTTTTCCATCCTACAGAATCAGTTCGGCATGTAGGTATGTATACTACATTACCTCATTTATGAAAATTTTAAAATACTGCTTGAAATCGCTTGAGAATTGATTATACATGTGTGTGTGTACAACTGTACATGTACACTGTCCAGGATCCATCGGACATCCTGTACAAGTAGGAAAATTAATAGTGCCATAAAAAAATAAGGGACACAATTATGTTATAAATATGTCATTGCATAGCTTTCTTACCTTGGATTGTCCACTATAATGTATAAATTTCTGCCGATGTTTTTCAGAATTCCCTTTAAAAATGTTGCTACACAAGTTTTACACAAAGCGTTCTCACTATTTTTATCTTTTGTCAACCATAACGAAAATTTAGGAATTTGTTTCCACTTACACAGATCTATATTTCTGATCGTATTTACGCTTCATTATCTTCACTACTCACGCACGATAACACAGAGAGACATAAATAAAGAGAAAAAAATCCGTGGTCCCTTTTATACATTTTTTTTCTCTTTATGGCTCTGGCACGGTTTGTGTATTAGCCAGCGTCAAGTATAAGATTTTTATAATTTGCTGTTATAATTATTTACAGTTTATGAATAATAAAAAACGAAAGGAAACTAATCGCGACGTAGAGCATGTAACTTAGATACGTAGCTAAAGCACGATTCGCGGTTCTGTTAGCATTAACTGTTCGAAAGAGACAAAATGATATAGTTGCGATAAACATCAGACAAAGACAAAATCATGTGAACAGAATACGGACCACCCAGCCCAAAAATAAATCAATAATGTGTTGAGAAATGTACCAAAAACTACCAGAATATGAACGGATACCAAAAAAAATACCAAATTAGTTTTTTTTTCTCTTTATGGCTCTGGCACGTTTTGTGCTGCTTGCTAGTTAGCGTCAAGTATAAGATTTTTATGATTCGCTGTTTTAATTATTTACAGTTTACTAGCAGACCGGCCAAGCGTTGCTGTGGCTAAGATTTTTGTTATATTACATAGTAGCAAACTATTAAAGCGAAACGGTAGGAGAACACCAGTCATGGGGACCACCATGCTTTTTTGGTGGTTATGCAATAAAGAACTCAGAAGTTTGATATATTTTATGGATTAAACTTACTTGATACTTGATTTTATTTTATACATTGATAGTAACTGTATTTCTATGAAATTAAAATATACTATACGTATTTAGTCTTTTAATATTGATACTTTAAATGACTAGCATTGCATGGAAAACGAAAACTATATTTATTATAAAACACAAATTTAATCGGAATAATCAAATACTCCGAAACAAACGAAATCTTCTATCAAATAAAACAAAGTTTAGGCTATTATTATACTTGTTAACTATTCGTAAAAAATATATAATAGAAATAAAAATGAGTAATTGCATGAAGTATCAAGACAATAAATCGTACTAACCTAAGAAATTCAATGACATTCTGTGTTGCCATCCGAAAGTTTTCAAATAATTCAATTATCGTATTTCATTAGCGAGACTCTAATATGCCTAAATTGTCACATACACTTTTACCTTTTCGAAATCCAAATTCCAAACTGAGTTGGGGACAGATATTCGTTATTTTCTATATACGATTCAAGCCGATTTAACGAGTTTTTGAACATTTAATTCAAACGAATTAAATGTTCAACAACTTTTGTTATCACCGATGATTGAATATCAGATCGTACCTTAGACGGTTTTTTAAAATGGCAGCACCATTTAACTTCGCCAAGATGGCGATATGTCAGTTGTCAATAGAACTTTATTTATTAAATTTAAAAAGTAATTTAATCCATTTTCGCCAAGGTTAGACAAAAAGGAATATGGGATCGGGATAGCACTGTCTTTGACGTAATTTAATACACCTTTTAATTCCACTAACGTAAAAGGTAGATTTAGAGAGGAAGGGGCGGCATCAGAGTTATTTTGTTTAGAAGCGTGGATTGTGGATAAGACCTCTAAGTGGAGCAGAAGGAGGAGCCAAGCGATCAAGGAATTCATCAGCTAATTCTATAGGAAGCAACGACGCGTTAGAAGGATTGACAGCCGACCTAAATCTTTTGATAGGTGCAACAATATTTCCTCCACCCCTCATATTTCCTTTTTTTAAATAGTTTTATAACCTCTTTCATTACAGTCATTAAGGTCTCGTAGTTTTCCACGCGTTTTTTTTATACTTGTGGTACATTCTTAATGTTAGTAATAAGATGACAACTAATTACTATGCGGCTTTTTCTTTGGAAAAACATTATCAGCCGATTGTAACAAAACAGCTTTGAAATAATTACTATCTGTGACATTAACTTCTGAGCAACTATTAATTTTCTCTTCTACTAATAAAGTGTATTGACTCCATTTAGAGTATGATTTTGTGATTGAGGCGAGAGTTTTGAATAAACATATTACTATTTTTTTTACAGGGAAATGAAATGATTATGGGATAATGATCACTATTGTAAGATGAACACAAAGTAGACCAGATAGAGAAGATGCTAAATTGCGAGTACAAATGGACAGGTCAATGGCACTAATTGCTTCACCAGGCTTTGTGAGGCGAGTAGGAGAACCCAAATTTAAAATGCATAGGCTATACATGTCTAAGATATCCAATAATGCATACCCATAACTATTAGAAACCGAGTTACCCCAAGATGTGTGATGAGAGTTGAAATCACCCAGAATCATGAAAGGCTGAGGAAGAACTGAAATTAATTTTTTCATTGAAAATTTGCAAGGAGGGGTGAGGCACATAGAGACAAAACAGATAGCATCAACAATAGCTGCACTGATAGAAAAGCTGACATTATGTGAAGGAAGAGGGAAGGAAGAAAAAGTGTTAGAGTTTCTGATGAGCAGGCATACACCACCATACCCATCAGCCCTGTCTTCTCTTAAGCATGAATAACCAGGGATTTTGAATACATGATCTGGCTTTAACCAGGTTTCAGATAGAGAAAAAATTAAAGTATTAAAAGTATTTATAATGTGTATAATTTCATGCTTTTTGTTAATAATACTGCGGCATGTCCATTGAACTAGCCTGCCCATGTTGGCCATTATTAATATGAGTGTAGGTATGAATTAAATTAGCAGCGTGGGACTTTATAGTTAAGTCTCCTAAGTTTCAGAATTTCTCCACATCCAATGGGTACATTAGTGTTCTCCATAATGTCCTCAGGAGACCACTCGGTTGGGACTCCCTTAACTAAACCCATTCTTGTAATATTAAAAGTTGGGATAAAAGCTTTCATGTCGTTAGCAGGTAAGCAGTTTGAAGTGATAAAGCTGTTAGCGTCTGTGTTATTATTAAAAGAAAGTGTCATTTTATTTCTACTGATATGTTTCAAACTTACATTTACAATATTTTTGAGTAGATAACTTTTTAAAAATCTGCGAAACAACTGGGTGTAATGTTGTACTATTATTATCACCATACTGTATTTTATGCACATGTACCACAAACGGGCCGTGATCATTGGCGTCATAACTAGCCCTACCAATTTGTGTGGGGGTTTTAGGAGTAATACTGGTGGAAGGAACAGGCATTGAAGTAGTATTAGTGCAAGGAATAGCAGGCAAATTAACAGTGCTCTCATAAAATTCATCTTTACATTGACAGTATTACTTTTTAGTTTTTTTTTTGTTACAATGTTTAAAAACTTTGTGGAGATGGCTGCGCTTCAGCTTCCTTTTAGAAACCAAAGAGCAGTCAGATCCATACCGGATTCGGATCCGCACTGAAGTATTTCGGAATTGGTTCGGAAATACTTAAGTGCCCACAGCTGTCACAGCCACAAAGTGGTGGTGCGCGGCAAAAACTGCCTTGAAAAACGCTCAGTTGTGGAACGGCGGACGTCGAGGTGATACGGGTGGAATTTCGTACTCTGCCTCGACGTCCGATGACGAAACTCAGCTGCAGGTATTAATCCGAACAACTCCTCTGAACACTCTCCATGGTAAATGCGGTAGAAGATGCAGAGTGACCCCACATCTCTACGCAACGCCAAAGGATCAAGCCGCTCGGAGAGGGATGTCGTCGACGATTCGAACCGCTCTGCGTTGAATACGGTCAAGTGAAAGGAGCTGGTACTGGGGAGCCCCCGCCCAGACGTGAGAGCAGTACTCCATGTGGGGCCGAATTTGCGCTTTATATACGTACCCCTAGACTATAGATGGATTCAAGGCTTGACCGCATAAGAAATAGCATTAGTTGTTTACTGTGTACTGCGTTGGGAAAAAATTCCCCATATTAGGTAAAATTATTACCTATTGACGTTTTTTGTGGAAATATATGGGGGAGGCCTATGTCTAGCAGTCGTCGTCTGTTAGCTGATGATTCTCAATTGATGACGATCACAAGGTAGAATTGGACATCGTGACTAACTAAGACGGAGATAGAGTGGAAGAAACTTAATGCTTTTCTTGGTAGAAATTTGTGGAAGGAAATGAGGTAGGTCTTTGACCATAGTTGGAGTGTTATGAGCTATTAATAATAATGTAGAAATAAATACAACTCATGACAGCAAAAATATTTATTTAACAAAAATTTCACTTCCAAGAGCCTACTGCTCTTAATTAAACTTGCTTATTGTGCAATTATTTAATTGTTTCATCTCGTTTAGACAGAAGTCACAATAAAATTAATTCTCATTTCCAGATATCCTAAAGTTATTGATTTGATAAGTAACGAGACAAGATTGTCTAATGGGCTTTGACAAAGAATATGGTCACAGTCAGGTCAGAAAAAAAATTGTGCGTCAAATTTTTTTTTTAAACACTGCCAATAACTGGGTCACTATTTTTATAAGAAAAATATGCTATGCAATATTTTGCCGCCAACATCTTTTTTAGAATAAAACTCGGACATTTTTCATAGAAAACCAATGGCACCTGAGCACTTATCGCATTTTATGCTTTTCAGATTGTATGTCATGTTTGGATTATCCTTTCGGTCCATTCAGTTTGTTGATTGAATCTTGATAGACACTTGATAAAAATGTGATATATACCTATTACCATCATGATCTGTCGTAACAGCATAAATATTTTTTAATTGTAAAACTGGCCTTTATGAAGTGAAAATAATAAAAACAATAAAAGAGTATCTAACATACCTTACTCTATGCGATTACCTATATAGAACAAAAGTTTTTTGGAAAACATATTGATTGTACAAAAATATTATACCTCATTATTTTCTATACACATAAAACAACATTTTTTTGAGATTTGGTGGAATAATCTGTTTTAGTTGACTTTAATTTATTACGTAAATGTGAGTTCTTGAAAATACTTAATACAATTAAATTGTAATTAAAAATGATTTAATACTTCTTTTTAAACTTTTTTTACAATTATTTTAAATTCTTTCCATGCTCAAAATTTGCTTGTATTTGTGAATCGTGGATAAACTTATAACTGCTGTCTCCTCCTGAAAGTAAATTATAAACATTACGTATTAATCTCAACTAAACTCTGCCAATAACATAAACTGTGTTGAATATCTTCTGCCATTTCAAATATTATTTATTACACTTCCTTGTATGACACCAAAGGCCAAGTGCTATATCACATTCTTGGTAGTTTTCCTCAGGAATCTGACCCAAGTATCACACACATCTACATCTGTTGTTAAAATTACCAGAGTTATCTGCCGGAAGATGCGAGTTCAAGATTATTTCTTCGGGTGCACCATCTCGTGTCTCAGTTCTGAAATTCGCTGGCTGGACCTAGAAAAAAAATCAACTATATTTATACATCATTTCAAGCGCACTACTTGCTACTAGCTGCAACACACATGCGAATTGGCATTGGTATATTTATGTTTTAAATAATACAAAACTTTATTTATGACAAAAGGGTTCTGACAAAAAATTATATATATAGCTAGTCGCTAGACCCCCACTAGGGAGAAAAAAAAGTAATTTTAGTGTTACAACTAGGTATGTCTTATTAGTCATTAAAAGAACTAGCCCTGGCTGTATGGACTAAAGTCCTTTGCCTTTCACATTAGGGATAAATTAATATCATCATCATCATTATAAGTCATTAAGAGATATTGTTTTGACAAATACGAGTATGTTGTGAGATAAATAAGAAGTCGTCAACTGATTTTAATAAAATGTTTCGAAAGAAAACTTTCCACGTTTCTTGTTTCTAAAGATTAAGACGAATTTATGAAAGTGCGTTAGTAAAATAACAGCAGAACAGACGTTTTCTTTGTCTAATACTAAAAATAAAAAAAAAAAACACCAAGCTGTTTATTACCTGTCCTTCATTCCTCATAATGTCAGGCATAACCACACCTCCTGGATATCTATTGTAAATACCATTCAGGTTGTAGTGTAAATTCATGTCTGGTCCAATGTTTGCTTTGAGAAGCTGTTCCCAGATGCCACCTATAGGCAATTGTTGTTTAGTTAGGAGGTTCCATTAGCCTTCAAGCACTAGCCAGATAAATTTTAGCATCTGTTTTACTGATAATGTTTTAAAGAATTTAAGTGATCTGACTTCTACAAAACTATTTACTAAACACAATCCTAACGTGTTCAATGTTTAGATTAATCTTTCTTTTTATGTTATTTTCATGCTTTTATAGCAAAACACGTGATGATATAAAAAGGTTCGTACCTTTGTGGGGTGTGCCCCATTCAAGTTTTACGCGAAGAAGTAGCCCTTCAATTGTCACAATATCATCATAATGAAAAAAAATGGAAAACGTCGTGGAATACGGAGGAGTCTCGTAAGCCTTAGCAAATACACGGAAAAATATGTTACTTTACCTTTGTCTATAGAAACAACTGGTCTATTGGACTGCCAAGGGTATTCACCGTGAGCTTGGAAGTATATTGCATATGTTGATAACTAAAAAAAATTATACAAATGAATTTCGTATCACAATTTCATCTTGAACACAATCGAATATTTCGTCAAAGGCACACAAGTGGGACAGTATCGGGAAAACTTTTGTTAAAATTTATTTTTTACTTACTCTGTTTACGTGTTTTAATTATTATACAGTCAACACCACGTTGACATTTTCACTTGCTTTATACAACACATACTATTCCCATCCTCTGTATCTACTACTACCGATGACTCGTAACAATTACCAATCATATATAAAATACGGGAATATGGGACAATGTACGCAATAATGTATATCTACTAGCTGACCCGGCAAACGTTGTTTTGCTATGTACCTATATTATTTCTAGGAAACATTTTTTAGTTCAATAAAAGAACTACTATATAATAAAAATAGGGGTTGAACGTAGAGGAGTCAAAATTAGGGGTTGTATGTATTTTTGTATAAATAAATAAATCAGTGGTGCTACAACCTCTTTAAGTGTTGGCCTCAGATTTCTGAATCTGTTTCATGATCATTTTTAAAACTTAGGCAAGTAGGTGATCAGCCTCCAGTGCCTGACACACGCCGTCGACTTTTTGGGTCTATGATATGTCGGTTTCCTCACGATGTTTTCCTTCACCGATTGATTGGTGCACGGCCGGGGATCGAACCTACGACCTCAGGTAAGAGAGTCGCACGCTGAAGCCACTTGGCCAACACTGCTCTTTGTCATGTATTTTTGTATGCTGGACAACCCTTATCACTTAAGGGTATGAAAAATAGATAGTAGCCGATTGTCTGACCTACTGAATATGCATATAAAATTTGATAAAATCGGTCAAGCTGTTTCGGAGGAGTATGGTAACTAACATTGTGACACGAGAATTTTATATATAAGATAAGACATCATAAGCGCAAACATAGAGCAATAAAGTAATACATTCGGCGAATCGTGGCATTACCTTCTTACATATAAGAACCCCCTCATTAAAAATATTTATGTACCTTAGTATACGTATCTTAACAGCGGTGAATACTTAGATGCAGAAGATCATTAAAAACTGTGTTTCTGGACTAAACTACTGATTATTTAAACCGTTTGTGCGTTTAGAAAGATCAATTTACAATGTTATTATTTAATGTACCTAGTGGTATACCTGTGTATAATATAGTGATAGCCAATATTTCCCACCATGTCCCACAAAAGCGGTCCCGTTTGCGTCCAACAGTCCAGTTGGAATGTCCTGATGAAGGGATTCTGGTGATATTCGAAGGTTACAGCCATACCTAATGATATTCAATGGAAGTTGCTGTTTAATAGTACAGTCTGAAGGCTAAAAGTTGCTAGAAACTAAAATAGGTGTGTTACAACCTTTGCTAATACTTAGTAGATATTTGGAGCTCACAATACGAGAAGGAATATTTTCCAAAAAGTGCCCCTGCTAACGCCTAAGGTGATGGAAAACATCGCGAGGAAATTGAGGTTTCCTAGTACGAAAGCGTGTCTTAGCCAGCATGTATTATTGCTTTACGCTCTGACACTGCTAGATGGATCACGAGTGTCGGTGACTAGTAAGAGAGCCTCAGCCGTTACGCACTGTCTTATATAAAAAAAACTACAATATATATTGATACTTACCAATCAGGGCATGCTTTAAGTATATCGTATGGCGCGCGGTAGTACTCAGCCCTCCTCACCACTGGGTTGCGTCGATTGAATCTCTCATTTGGATCCGTGAGATTGACGCGTTTTATTTTGACATCCCTCCGTTCGCAGATGTAGTCGTAGTGAAATTTCGGTACTGATTCACCACGCGCGCAATATGTTGCTGATGTTATACAATATTAAATTGAGACAAATGATATAGGTACATTTTTATTTAGTAGAAATAAAGTTTCAGCAGTTTGCTTCTGTTCTTTCGGTTGTGGTCTTAATATTAAACATATAAAAATATACTTGTATATAATTTCTTGATCAACATTTGGAATCTAAGGCAGGACGATTTCCTGACGATATTTTCCTTCACTGTACGCCCGAGTGTTAAATGCATGCATAGACCAAAAAACCTGTTGGTGCAGAGCCGGGGATCAAACCTACGGGATGTGAGTAGCATGCTTATTGCTTAGGCCACAAGATCAACACAAGTTTCTGCTGTTTTCGGAGATTAAAGTTTGAAGTCCCAATCCCGACATATCTTTGCGTTATCTTTTAATAATAATTTCTTATTTAAACCACTCAGCTTATTCTGCCAAAATCAAATCAGGCACGGGGTATTGGGCTCAAGGCCTAGTCTCGCTAAGGTTAGAAAATATTTAGTTTTAAACAGACCTTAACCTAAAATGATTTCTTTGTGCAATTATAGCTTACTTTTGTAGGTTCCATCTAGTGAGCTCACAGCGGCGTACTTGTCGATACAATATCTGTACCCTAACACTGTGGGGTATCGTAAATACGGCACTTTACAAGAAAACCGCCCTTCTTGATACATTGTACCCTGGAAATGATTAAACTATGCCAGTTCAACGACGTCTTAATACACTATTACAGAGAGAGAATTTAGAACGTTTGATTGTGATTAGTCAAACGGAATGAAGCATTGTGTCTATGATTGGTGTTCACGTTTTACGTGTGGTTGTGATTCGGGAAAGTGCATCGCCAATCTTATATTTAACCTAATTTGCGATGACGATAAAAAGTTGTAAAAAAATCAATGAGTTATCGTATATGAATATATTTCATGTTATACACATAAGTGTATATTGAGATATAACGATGACAATTATTATTATAAGCGCATTTCTGCTGCTTTTTTCTAACTGTTTATATACGCATTGCATTAATTTTATATTGAGCGTTAGTTACCTTACAAATAACACTCCTGCGCCCAGGAGGCCTCGAAACACCGCCGAAGCAGTACGTTCTAGTACCATTTATCATAATCTCCGTTGCGCCGATATGTGAAATCAAAGTGATCCCGTTAATACCCGCCAAAGCAAATCTTTGCAATCCAGCTCGTTTGCGAACTTCGACGTTATTTTTCATACTCATAGTGTTCACTATCGCTTGCCATCCGTAGACGAACTCGTGCATTGGTCCTAGGTAAACATTATTTATAATACTTTATTCAATTACTATTTTTTATTTATTTTTACGTAATAGAAGGCAAACAGGCAGGAGGATCACCTGATGTTAAGTGATACCGCCGCCCATGGACCTCACATTGCCAGAAGGCTCGCAAATGTGATGTATTTTTGTTCTGATTTATAATAACTAGCTAGTATGAGATATTGCATCTTTTACAACAAGAAAGCCCGTACTACTAAATGGATTTACTCTCTATCGATTATGATATCTAGAACATACCAATTCCAAAACTGTCTCCATCCAGGAAATTAAACATTTCCCCAAATGAATCGGGCATAAGCCCCGCGATGACCGTGGAAGCCTGAAAGCCTTCATCGGGAAGCATCGGTCCTATTTCATCCCTTGGGGTGGTAAATTCATGTGACATGTTGCTGAAGTGGGATCGAGAGGCATCGCTCTGCAAGCCAATAGTCATGTTTGAAAGTTAAGTAGGGGCATTTAAATCTGAACAAAACAATATAATTTCTAGGAACGCATAGAATTCATGGAGTAGACACACTACTAGTAGGTGCCTAAAACGTAGAGTAAAAAGAAATTGTGTTCGGTTTGATTAATAAGTCAACAGTAGGTATCTCCAATACAATACACGCTGATTATTACGTACCCCAGAGTAGTGTTATTAATAAGTCAAAATATTTATTATTTAGGTAACTTATTGATATGAAAGGCCAAACAATATTATTTATTACCATTGCGCAGATAAAGGCGAACAAGAAGCTCTCCGCCACTCTCTTTCACATAGCATTGTCTTATGCTGTTCTTTAGTGGGGTAATGCAGCTGATATTAACATCCTATATTATCTAAGGTTTGCGTTGTGTTTGATCCACAACTGATGATACTGTTAATCTTCTTTAAATAATAAACTTTTAAATGCTTGGTAAAATTCTCAAGATTCTGTTGGATTTTTTGCGATTTACCAATTGTTGCCAAGGTATAAATTATTTTATTATTATTTATCTCAAACTTCACAATTTAAGGACCGCCATTCTCACTTTAAGCTTGTAGTGGTGTTAATACGTTGGGTTGTCATCAATATGGCGAGGGGGTCGATGCGTCGTGCCTACTCGTGATCGGATGCTACTTGTGGTGACTATCTTATTTCGGCCATACAATACGCAGAGGCGATGAGATCTTGGAGAAACTGATCGTGATTGGTAACACAGAAGGCAAGAGATCACGTGTCCTTTCGGCTTTCACCAACCAGATGGACCGATCAAGTGAAAGACTCATCGTCCTTAAAACTGTATACCGTCATAAGAGAGTTGCTGGACAGAAACCAGTGGAAACAGATAGTCAGCTCCAGGTGCTTCTTTCCTGACCATGACGCTCAGACATGAGCGACAGAGAGTGGTGACTTATCGATCTTGAACCTGTGTATGCCTATGTATTAGTTTTTTTTCATCCTTTATGCTATGCTTTTGCATGTTATTCCAAAAGAAATGTAAGTGCATGCTCCTATTTCACCGTGCCTTGCTGATGAAACGTTGGGTGTTCTTAGTTATTCGTTATTTTAGATTTAATTACAATAATCAACTGTTTTAACATGGGATGAGGAGCATCATGTACCTAATGATTGCAGGAGCTTAAAACAGTTGTAATAGGAACTTGGGCGATTTAAGAGTGAGGGAGAATTATTGCCAATTCTTGTAGTACGTTCTTTTGAGAACTGGCATTAAATGTAAATTTAGAAGCTTTTTTACAGGCATAAGTGTACATTAAGTTATCTAAATAAATAGATTTCGCGACGTAGTCTAAGGGCTAGTAGTAGTCTATGGTCTTACCTTCGAAATCCATATTGTGGTGAATACTAACAATGTTATTGTATTCATATCACACAACTAGCAATACAACATTCACTAACAAAGTCTCTCTAAAAACCTAATTGGTTTGTTAAAAATAATTGCTAAGATAAGAATTTTACTTTGAAACAATTATTTTTTATACAAGTGTTCTAAGCACGAAAACTTAAATAATGTTATATATGTATGTCTCTAATACTAAAAAGTATTTATTAATCAGCATTTTATTGACATACATTATACAAAAATAGAAATACAGTCAAAATCTATTATAACGACATCGAAGGGACTACTCATATTTGGTCGTAAAAACCGATAGTCGTAATAGCCGATGACGTTATAATTAAGTACTTATTACATAGAATTTAGCCGGCACCTTTGGTTTTGATTAATATAACCGGTATGTTGTTCTAAAGTTCTTCCTTTTACTACTCTAAGATGCGGCCCGGCCCGTCCGGGAGACGCCCCTCCTCCAACCTTTTCCACTCTATTTTATTTTTTGCCGTCGTCATCTAATTTTTTCCAGCTACCCTTTTGATCTCGTCAGCCTATCGCTCTATTGGTCTGCCCTTGTTTCTTTTTCCTTTTAGACCAGTCCATTCGGTTACTATTATCCATCCATATAGACCATCTGTCATCTGTATAACTCCATTTCCATTTAAGATCTTGATTATTGACGAAAAACCTGATTGTATTATCTAGTGTTGTTACTACATGAACATGCAAATTACAAGCCCTATTACCTCTTGCTTAAAAAAACTTAAACTTAGTTTTTAAATATTATTTTTGTATTATTTGTGTCTACATGCTAATGTCAAGGTTGCAACAAATTTATCTGAGAAACATTCAGGCTGATATCTGATACGAGGGAACCAAGTCAACGACATTTAAAGATAATTAATAAGTAGCCGCTCGTCTATTAAAAACAACAACGATGGTAAATGAACATTAAGCCAGGTATCCACTATGTTCGCGAACCTCTTGCGCTCCGCGCACTTGCAATAGCTCCGCGTAGTGAATACGTTTGCGAACGTGGAGCGTGAACGGTGCGCAAACGTATTGAACATAGTGGATACCTGGCTAAGGCTTATGTCAAACCAGGGCGTAATAAAACGTTGTGCGCTTGGCCCCATTCTGCCCGTGAGATAGTCGTCTAGGCCCTAGACTGTATTTTGGTCTCAGTGTCTATTACGTGATCATTAAAACCGTTTGTGATAATAATAATGGAACACGCGCGTCCTCCGGGTGAATTAGCGGTCGAAGGTGGTCCAGCCGAGCGCGCCGACGCGTGGCGAAAATGGCGGAAACAGTTCGAGGTGTTTCTCATAGCATCCGGGGTGAGCAAGGAGTCTGAAGAGATTCAGGCCAGTTTGTTGGTTAACCTCATCGGTCCGAGTGGCTACGAGATCTTTAGTACATTCACATATCTCAAGGATGAAAGTGAACATAAGCTTAAATGTCTCTAGACAAAATTTGATGCGCACTTTGGTACCAAACCTAATATCACAATGTCAAGGTTTAAGTTTTTCTCACGCAATCAAGAGCAAGGTGAAACAATTGATCAATTTGTGACGGCGTTGCGGTTGCTAAGTCAAAATTGTGACTTTGGTGATCTAACTGATAGCTTGATCAAGGATCGGATAGTGTGTGGAATAGCGAGCAACACCGTCCGAGACCGTCTGCTGCGGACCGACGACCTCAGTTTGGCGAAGGCAGTGCAAGTGTGTGAGGCCGCCGAACTATCCAAAGAGGAAAGTCGCTGCATAGAAGGGACCTCCAGTGAAGCGAGGGTGGACGCTGTGAACAGCAGGACGGAGCACGAGGGCCGCGGCAGCTGGCGGGGCAGGTGAGGCGGCGGCTACTACAGGTGTGCTGGATGGGACAAGTGCCCAGCACAGCAGCGTACATCTTATCGTTTGTTATTGCTGATTTTAAATGTCAAAGTGTTATTGGTTTAGACGCATGCATTCACATGAACCTAATAAACAGAGTGAACAGTATAAATATAAATAGACAATATAATGATTTGTTTCATGGGCTAGGTAAATTACCTGGAAAATACACTATTTCTATAGACGAATCCGTTCAGCCAGTTTTATGTTCTGCGAGAAAAATACCGTTAGGTATGCGTGATAAACTCCTCTGTGAGTTACAAAGAATGATGGACCTCGGTGTAATTAGGAAGGTGACTCATCCGACCAATTGGGTGAATGCTATTGTATTGGCGCCAAAGAAAAATGGCGACATTCGTTTGTGCCTCGACCCGCGACCATTAAACCCCGCCTGCCGACAGTGAGCGAGCTGGCGGCGCGCCTGCGCAGGACGGTCTGGTTCAGCCTGCTAGCTGCCCGCTCCGGCTTCTGGATGTCTCGGGACGTGGAGGCCTATGTCCGCGTGTGCGCCACCTGCGCCGCGCCCCCGCCGCGAGCCCGCGCGCCCGCACCCCGTGCCCGACAGGCCTTGGCTCAAGCTAGCTTCAGACATCTTCGAGTATCGTAGGAAATATTACGTTATATTAGTAGTCTACTTTTCCAATTATGTTGAAGTTAATGAGCTTAACAGTATATGTAGCAAAGCTTGTAATAACTGCCCTAAAAGAGCAATTTGGAAGACACGGAATCGGGAATACCAATTGAGTTGGTTACAGACAACGGACCGGCCTATAGCTCGGCCGAGTTCAAAAATTTTTTAGAGTCTTGGGAAGTTCGACATACTGCTTCTTCTACACACTACCCGCAATCGAACGGAAAAAGTGAACGTGCTGTGCAGTCAGTTAAAAATATATTGAAAAAGGTGCATTGATTCAGGTCATGACTTTCATCTAAGCTTATTTAATTTTAGAACGACTCCGCGGGACAATATGGATTCTCCAGCCCAAATACTTATGGGCCGCCGTTTGCACAATAGATTACCAATGAGTAGAAAATTAATGTATGAATCAGTTGATAATTCAAAAAATTATCAAGCGCTAATGAGTTATAAGAAAAAATCTAATTCAAATTATAATAAGACGGCTAGGGACCTACCTACGCTTAAACAGGGTGATAGGGTAGTTCTGGCAGGGGATAATATAGGGAGACCTGTCTAGGTCATTGCGAAATCCTCAGAGCCTAGGTCATACATAGTGGAGGACGCCGTTGGGCGCTGCTACAGACGCAACAGGCGACACCTGGTGGGGCGGGAGCGTCCGGCGCCGGCGCAGCCCGAGCCCGCCGTCAGCTGTTCCGCACAACAGCTGATCACTGATAAGGGAGCGTTGCCCTCTGCGAGCGCCTCCGACACACCGACGTCCATTGTTACCGGTCCCGTAACTAGGTCAAAGACTCGAACTCGCGCTGGCTTAGGATTTGATTTAAATAATTTGTTTTGATAAATTACTAATGATAAATTTGGCATTATTACGTACTTGAAGTAAGTACTTACTTAAATAAGATTTTGTATAAATAACAAGCTATGTGTTTGATGAACTTTAAAGGGGAGGATGGATTAATAGAATAAAAATATTTTCTGTATTGTATACCTACCTACCTAATGTAACAAAGTACCTAGGTTATTGTAAGGAGGTACTTACCTCCATTTTATGTGTTTGATTTATGTTGTTTTTTTTCTTTATATTATTAAGGTTTAATTGTAGTTATAAGTTACATTAGAACTAGACTTGCGTGTTAGATAACTTCTCAATGATAAAACATTCAGGTACTTACCTATAATTATTTGTGTTTACAGCTAAGTTATTAGATGTTAATTCGAATTAAGATTGCTTTATAGCTCTATTTATAAGGGGGAAGATGTGGTATTATTATGTACTTATGGAGGGTAATTTGAAAATAAATTAGTGTTAAACCAACTAGCGTGTGTTTCACTACAGTTTTGATATAACTAATACTATTAGAGAAATAGATCATATCGCTAAAAAATGGAGAATTTGCTATGATAGTACTTTGGAAAATTTAAAAGGCTTTCGAACACTTAAATTAAACTTTTACTACCAGCAAGTCCCATAGAAACATCATCGAGATATTTCTTCCGGGCAAACACCCTGGTCTAATATAATGATGAAAAATTATAAAAATAATTCATTCCACATTTCTTCTCTGGTCCTAAGTAGCTAATTAAAGTGAGTTCGAGCAACCTTTTACCTGTTGACTTTATCATTGTTACCCGGAACCCGGAAGTTTGCCGATTTAGTTTTAGAATTTCAGCGATTAGGCGTATTCCACAAACGGCGATTTTAGCCAAGAATGGAGTTTTTTTTGATTTTGTAGACTAAACCTCAGCAATTTTTTTCCAGTTCCCCAAAACTGCAAACCCGATCCCGCCAATCGTCACCGTTGAGGCGGGCTGTTAAAACAATTTTCGCACCTTCAGGCCAGGAGCCAGTTTTGCTCTACTCGCTTTGAACTGGGTATACGAAACCCTATAAGGCTAAGTTCAGATGACCGCGCGGAACTATGAACCGCGCGGTACAAGATCAATATAAACGGTAATTATCGTCTACATTACCGCGCGGTACCGCACGCCAACTCGCGGCGCGCTCCGACCCGCGCGCAAGATCTTGAACCGCGCGCTTCCGCGCGGCCGCGCGCGGCACAAGTTTTGCAAACCTGTATCGACCTGTTCAGTTGATCCGCGCGGCTTGAGACGGAAAGACACATAGATCGATGCAAAATTAGTACCGAAGATATGGTATTAAGTATTTGGTGATATGCAATATCTTATAGCATCTTCACTGGATTTTAAATCATTTTCAATAGAATCGTATAAAAAATCAAAGGATGCAACTGACATCCGGAAATAGTTAAAAAAATTATCTTCGTGTAACCTCAAGTCGGGATACAAAGTGACAAACAGGCTGGAAGAAAGTCTGCCACTTAAAATTGGATGCACCCAGTATCGTCTTTGTCTTCTTCTGCGACGTCTCAGTCTTCTATATAAAATCCATAAGCAAATTGCCTCCTCCACGTCCATTGTCAATCAATGTTGAAGCCACACTGCCGCGCGTACATATACCGTCATGTGAATGCTCCAACCGCGCGGCGACGCGCGGTCATCTGAACTTAGCCTAAAACTATCCCTACTATCAGGGAGATAAAAGTCGATGAAAGGATAAATGAAACATGGTAAATCCAGCTTTATTTCGTATAATTTATATAAAAAAGCAACAAATTTGGCACATTTTTGTTACGAAAACAGCAACAATGGAAATAAATAAAAATCTAAATATCTAAAACATACATTAAGTTACATAAATCATAAAATATTTTATAGCCTCAGACTTCGGCTTAAATCTGTGATCATACTTGAGTAACATAATTTGTACTCTCATTAGTTCGATGAAATTTTGTATTTGTAAATTCCGTAGTGCCACAATTGTCACATTAGTCCAAAAGTAAGTAAAAAAGTTATATCAAAGCAAAGCAGATATATAAAACAATCACACAAAATAATATTATCATTATAGTTTGTTTATTTTTAATAAATGTTTTATCCTTTATCTTGTAGCATACACATGTATCATATTTTTATCGACATTTTACATCGATATCATAATATCGTCACTCGCACAGAACTACATAAAACTGGTCTTGCGGGATTCGCGCGAATGTGTGCGTGTATGTAAAATGTCGATAAAAATATGATATGATACAATCTATTACTAACGAAAACTTGTTCCTTAAGTATATAAAGCTCCGCCATGTTAACGGTTACTCAAGTACAGATTAATAAATTTACCATAAACCCAATCAAAATCCAAATCAGTTAAAAAAGTCATACTCTAAATTTAAATAATCGTTATCTTTTCGGGAAATTTTTAACGGCTAAGATTCGGCTGACAATTCGGTGACAGAAGTTGATATATTACTGAAACCTCGCGATTGTATTGAACGCGTATCAAAACTAAACTGTATAAGCTATTAATAATTAAAACCTGAATTTGTTACTGATAAAAAAGTTCCTACTCTGTAAGGCACTGGATAAATTGTGATAAGTTATGACTAAGACAACTTTCTTCACCGCTTGACCTGATAAATTCTTATGTACTATATATACACGGGTGACATTTTATTGTCATGTGAGGATTTTTAACACCTTTAAAAAACTTTGAGCAAAATATGTTGGATGCGATTGTGCTAGATATAACATAATTGTAAAAATCGAGATTCCATTTAATACTTAAGAGATATTTTATTAACAATGATTATCAATACGTACCCGTTTGTGCCCGTTGGCTGAGTCTTTATATCGTGTTTTGTTTGTTTTACTGTGGAAGAGCAGAACCAAGAAGTTACAATACTTTCGCTGTGTATTAACAATACTATGTTTTTTGTATATTGTAAATCTGTTTTCGGACAAAAAATTCTCCGTCTCTAATTAAAAATACCTTCTTTTTGTGAGAAGATTAATCTTCAATTCTAAATGAATAAATATTAGATCTTTAGTAAACACCTATCATGACTATTATAATATAATAAAAACAATTCGACCGAAAATTTCAATTCCGTATGTACTGCTACATGTAACGCTAAGCGTAAGGCACCTTACTCATCCTTGTCTTCAACTGCCGTCAGGAATAATTTCTGACAGCCATGCGTAAATTTCACTGTCAAAAAAAAAAGATATACAATATACTGTTCACCACAATTAGCTTGGTTTGGTTAGCCTTGGTATCATATAATTTCTAACCCTTCCGTAACAGAGTAGGCTTACAAAAATAATTAAATAGAACCTTTGCATCCTAAATATTAATCGTATCATTTTACGAATTTTTTTTGTTTGTTTACCGGCTTCTTGTACGACACAAGTGGTTTTCGGATGAAATTAACTTAATAAATTTCCTAATTTATTAAATAATTTCAATAAGAAAAAAATGACTACATATATGCGAAAACGTCGCCTATTAATAAATACAACCTAAACCTATAAAAAAATTTCTCGCAATAGCAATTTAAATCAGATATATACGAACTAAGAAAATAGTTTCTGTAATCAACAAAAACTGAGCCAGTAATTTTTGAGTAATACATGCATTGTTGGAGGTCACAAAATCTGTTATTTTTCTTGTATTAATATATGTGCTATTCTTATATACTAACCTGAAACATTAGCCAAGTACTTGGGTTGACCACGGACAAGGACCAAGTAAACAGGTACACCAGCTAGCGTGATTAAAGCGCCAGCTATTACAGCAACCGGCTCACTCACAACAGGAACTATCATCAAAACTAGGAGGACTGCTACGAATATGATCGGCATCCAAAGAGATACCTAAAAAAAATTATTTATGTATTACTTGCTGACCCGGCAATCGTTGTTTTGCCATTTATATTATTTCTAGGAAACATTTTTTAGTTCAATAAAAAAACTTATCTACTATAATAAAAAATAGAGGTTGATCGTAGAGGGGTGAAAATTAGGAGTTGTAGGTATTTTTGTATTCTGAATCAAAAAAAAACAAAACTTTATCTAAAAAATAAAAATTTAGGGATTTGAAAGATATGAATATGCATAAAAAATTTCATGAGAATCGGTCAATCCGTTTTGGGGGAGTATGGGAACGAACATCGTGACTCGAGAATTTTATATATTAGATTTTAATAATATAAGCCTCAGGTGCTCAGTGAGTGATTCCGATAAATTAAATTGAGCCAATATATATACCCAATTTCCATGAATAAATCCGTAGTCGCAAACTTAAGATCGCGGTACATAAAAACAATATTATCGGAATTACGTACAAAGAGTACAGATGAAGATCCATATAAATCTTTTTGTAGGATTGTTTTGGTGTTATCAACCAATAATAATCACTACAATAAATGCGTAATTTTTTCAACCTCATGTACAATTTCTTCATAATTATATCGTGTGTTTACGTTCTATTATTTTATGACAGATATTTTTATACAAATTGCGCCACCTATGCTGAGCATTAGCTAACTTGCACATACCAGTGCCTGCTGTTTTCAATTACATATTGCTTCACCATTGAATTGAATTACCCCTATTTTTATTATGTTATAAATACCTTTATAGGCCTGACTAATTCCGGTTTCTTGTATCTAAGCCAGAGGACTGCGCTACAACTCAATAGTGTAAAGAACGACTCGACGACTGTACAATATGTAATAAGCGACGTCAGGTTGCTCGGTATTAACATTATTAGAGATATTAACATCTAAAAAATAAGAGCAAATTAATAATTCAAATTAATTTATAATACAATAATTATTGTTCAAACTCACCAAAAACACGAGTGAAGGCATAGGTGACATACATTTAACATTTATATGCGCCAAAAGCTCTGGCATATGCCCATTTCTTGCTCCCGCGAAGCACATCCGTGATGACGTCATGATATGTACGGAAAGGCCACCGAGGATAGCAATAGCCACCAATGTCGGCATTGCCCATTTTAGCCACCCCAAAGCCACTACTGCGAAATCCTAAAAAGGAAAGTTTCGTAATATGCAATTTATTTAAATAAATATATAAGGGTTAAATAATACATGATTATTGTATGGCTTCTATTGTAACCATTGATCTCCAATAATGTACATTACTAATTATTGTAATTGTTTTCGGCAGTTGTCCCACCGCTGACGATGAACGAGAGCTGGTTGGTCTCTCGGCGTGAGTTCTGATCGCTGAGCAAGTGTCGCTAAGCGAGAATTATCTTTGAAGGCTCTTGTCGCTCAGCGACGAACTAGTGTAGCGAGTCCTCGCCGGCAGTATGAACAGTCAGGGATCAACTATTTATATATATATAGCTATTCTACGTTTCTTGAGCGAGAAAATAGCCGATAGTTAGTAGTTTCCTCGCCGTTGATGGAGCAGCCTTAATATAACATTTTTTAATGCTTATAATATAATAACACTTTTGGAAATACAACTGTTGAAGGTTGTAAATTATTTTTAAATCTCAACTCACAACAGCAATGGCCTCTGTTGCCCTAACTCCGACCGGTCCCAAAACAGCAAAGTAAGAAATATTAGCCAAAAGGTATATTCCAGTAACCAGCGGTAAAGATATGTAGATGGCCCTTGGTAGATTCACAAATGGGTCTCGGAGTTCTTCTGTCATAAAGTTAAGGTAATTCCTGAAAGTGGTCAGGAATGTTACTATTCAGGAAGTAATTTCACCCAGCTTTGACAAATTCAAAGTGCACTTTTGTGGCGATTTACTAAAAAAGAAGAGTCAATTTTGAAACGATTATTAATTCATAAAAATGTGCTCATTTCTATTAAATTGTTTAAGATTAATAACATAAATTTAAATATAGTATAATATATTATCAAGTTTACCAGCCAGAATATGAGAATATTCCAGAATAGAATGCAACAGACCAATCACTAACAGAGGTTTTTGTACCTGCCCAGCCATCTTCAAAATGTTCTAACCTACCTGTAAAAATATTTAAACTTAGCAAAGGTTTGTTGTTGGTAGAGAAAGTGAAGTCCTGTTGATAAATTACCTTGACACATCCACGCTATACCTCCAAGGATAATTATGAAAAGTGCCGCAATTTTTGTAAACATAAATACATTTTGGATACGAGTTGTGAATTTTACATCATATGCATTGATAAATGTTAGTAAACCTGTAAAACTTAATAAAGTTATTATATGCGGGGGTTTTAACAAATTTCACAAAATTTCTTTTCTATGCTAATTATCAGGTCAAGCATAAATTTTATAGTGGAGGGGCCTCCCTTTAGATATATAGTTTTATAATTACACAATATAATTATTAAAATAGCAAAATTACCCAAAACAAAAGTTATACTACATAATAACCTTAAATTACTCACATATGGTAACTGCTGCTATTAATTTTTGACAAAGTGGATCAATTGGGCAATTGGGAAATATAGGTTCCAGAAGATTGTTAGCAAATGTTACCGACATGATGGCATTGGTACTAGGCCTGAAATTTTTTCATTTTAATTAAAACACAAAAACATCTAGTCATGAAATATTTCCGTAATAGCGTTAGTATGAGAATAAAGTTTGTTAACTAAATCTAATTTAAAATGAATTAAATTAATATGTAACCCAAAATTGCAAATGACGTGAGATCTGTGACAGAGGTAGTTATTTCAAATCCTTTGGATGTGTTTAAGAGTTATGTGCTTTCAATGATTTCTTGATATTACATTTATTGATGAATTGATGGTAGACAGTAGTGCAACTTACACAAAGACAATATTAGCATCCCACAAATATAAAAAAGCTGGTAATGGTCCAAATGCTTCATTGATATAGTGATAATCACCACCACTCTGAGCAAGAGCCGTACCTAAAATATGAACATATAATGATAGAGCAGAGCCAGACCCAAATTTGAAAATGGATGAAATGTGAACTGTTAGTGCCAAGCATTTATCAGAAATAAAATAAGTACCTAAATATGGATGTGAAATAAACCTAGAATAATTGTTCCTTATAACTCTCGGTAGAGATCTGTTACACTTTAGTATATACTTTTTATGATAATTTTGTATTATACTATTCAATGAAGTAATAGTATTTTACTTACTTTAATGGAGTTTATTGTAAGGCTTACATAATAAACCTATAAATACCTAATTCTGCATAAGACATAGCACCAAGAGTTGCAAGTACACCACACGCTGCCCACACTGTCAAAGCACCCCAAACAGAACCAGTTTTTTCTAAAACTTCTTTGGGAGATATAAATATTCCACTTCCAAAAATAATTCCCAAAATAATGGCCACTCCCTCAAGCAAACCTAGTTGCTTTCGCATTTGAACCTTTTCTTCAGCCATTTTTAATGTCTTAGCTTTGTATTTTTATAGGTTAGTGTTCTCTTGTAATTTTACCAACCCCCTAACCAACCTGCAATAATAATTCTGGTATAAATGTGGATTCATCAGCAAATAAAAATAAAATATATTGATAAAGATTCTTTGGCAAATATGTTTACAAAACTAAATTATAAAAGACAGTATCTTTATCACAATATAAGTGATTGTATTGTGTGAATCAATGAAGAATGAAAAACTTGGTGATAGTACAAATTAAAGTTATTTACTGAATATGTAAAAGGAATTGTCGAAAATCATAAAGTTAAATGTAAATGCATATAAAAATGGCATGACCCACGTGTGACCTGTAAATAATTTTTTGAACATGGATGATTTTTAAGGACCTATTAAACTAAGGAGCAACAAAGTTTCGAATATGATTTAGAGTTCAGACTTAACGCACACACCTGTATGATAAAATCAAATCCTTTTATATAGTACAGGAGTCATATTTAATTAGAATTAAGTCTCGATTCAGTCTCTTACCATAAAATTTCTACCGGCACACATGTAAACTGAAGGAATCCGATCAAATATGTCCCCAACAAAATCAGGGCATTTCTTGTAATCAACTTGCCACATGCAAGTTATATCATTTAGACATTTATATAAAAAAATTGAAGGAACGAAAAAAGTGACTAGGCACACTTTTTTAACTCGAATTTAATTTAAATATATATTACAAATCGCTTAGAAAGTTTGAAATTCTCGGTTTTTATACTTACTACTTGAAATTTGAATACACATTACAAACTTAATGGTAGGTTCACACGCGCGCGTTCAACTCTACATTCAACGTGCACATTCACATTCACGAGCGTGTAAACGGTACGCCCGAGCCCGTGAACGCGCCTGTGAACGTGAATGCCGCGAATCGCGCAAGTGTCGGTTTTTTGGCAAAATTCAAAGGATGAATGTGCGGGCGCCCGGTGGGCGGTGACTGTTTACACGCGCGCAGGCACTAGGCAGTCGCCAGTCAGTCTCTCCCGCGCTTTCGCGACGAGTGGATCTTCATCTTCTTTCTTCTTTTTGAGTTTTTATTTTTTTCTCCGTAGTTCATAATTTTGTTTCTTTTTCCAATAAAAATAAGTTAAGCCAAAGGATATGGCAGCAACAACACCGAGATCCTCGCTGCTCGCCATTCTGGGCTCTGGCACTGGCCACTGACTGACGCGACGGCGTGGCGCGTGCGTGTGAACAGCTTGAATGTCCGCCGGCCCGGGACGGGCTGCACGGCGCGCGTCTGACCGTAGCATAACAGTTAACACATGGTAAAGTCGGAAACACACTTACGTGTCGTGGCGTGTCGTGACGCGCCAAAGGCATATTGGTTTCATACATTTAATATGATTAGAAACATATTTGCATGTTGTGTCGTGTCGCAACACGTTCTGTCTAATCATAATTCATATTAAAATATGCTTCTGGCGCGTCACGACACGCCACGACACGTAAGTGTGTTTCCGAGTTTAGAGACTGGCTAACGAAAGTAGATACTGGATTTTTTTGCAAACTTTTTATATGACAACACTACAGTTAGTACGGTCAAAACGTCTTGATATTTTTTTATTTTAAATAAGTACATATTAGTTTTAGTTACTTTAGATAATGTTATTGTTCTTTTACAGATAGTCTTGAGGATAATGCACGAACTGCTGAAGTAAAACAATGTTGAATTTTTAGATTCAGATTTTGATTATAGTGATTAAAAAACAGTATAAAAATATATGGTGTTGTTTTCTTTGATACATACTCACATAGATTTACAAATATTTAAACTCACGATAATATTGATACTCATGATAGTGTTTGATAGCCTATTTGTTCCTTTAATACGCCACAATGGATTGACGTATCCGTGTGATGTTTGGTATGGAGTTAATAAAGAGTTAACAAGTGATATAAGCTACTTTTAATCTCCTCATAACGCGGACAAAATTGCAAGCATCCACTAGAAAAATAAAAATGAATGTCAAAGTATCAAAGCGAGTTGTTCCAACTTTCCTTTTTACTTTAGGGGTGCCATGCTGATATTTTTTAAATTTGCCGCGCTTTTTCAGTATCAACTTTTATTAGCCAGATTCTAACACATAACACAGGTGTGAGGTGACAGGTTTAAGGTTACTTGTGTATTTTTATAATTAAAAACCAAAAATAGTCGATTTTTCATCTGCCACCTCCCGACATTATGTCTGGTCTTTTATAACCCGGACCTCGAACTATTAGGGATATTCGATATACATCGATGTTTACAATGCGATACATTGAATCCAATTCTTTGAAGATGTACAAAAAAACATCGAAAGGTTGATAAAACCAGTTAATTTTACAAAAACTCAAGTATGAATGGAACACTATAATTTAAAAGTAAAATAAATTTATTCAGCAGCACAAGATTACATACAATTAAAAAGACAACAAAAATACTGCAATGTGCTACTGAAAAGGCATACACTCAGCATTTATCAAACTTCACCTAAAATCTATCAATACGAGATAAAGTTAATTTCGATTTTAAATAATTTGTGTTTATAATTTCTATTGTTTATTTTTAATTAAAAAAAACCATGAAAAATAAAATATTTTTGAAATTAATTCAAAAATTAGGAAAAAATCGATTAACAAAAAAAAATCGATTATTTATTAATCGATTTTTCATGCTAAAAAATAATCGATTTTATGCAGAATGTCACATCCCTAGTTACATGTTGGAAATAAAATAAAAAAAATTTAATAACAATAGTCTACTAATGTTCCGTGGTGCACAGAACATCCCTAAACAATAATTTATCTAGGCTTGAGTTATAGATCGGTGGCGGTTCTTGGAGGGATGTTCAAAATATGTATGTTAAATGAAACTCTTTGTTTGAAGCTGGGTTTCAACTGGCTTTAATCGTTTAAAACTAGAGCTTATAACTAACATAACATTCCCCTAATGTTATGTTAGTTATAAGCTGGGATTGAGACGCTAGACTATACAAAAGACAAACTTGACTTATTGAAGCGTTCTTAAATATAAGTTTAATGCGACACTTATGTTACATATAAATAATAGAAACTTATACAAATGAGAATGTTGTATTACAATTGAAAAGTATGGGAAATTTTTGAGTTCTTTAGGCGCGTTATGAAAAATTGATGAGAGTGAAATTTTACGATGCGCGCGCACCGTGACATAAAATTAACAGAATGAAGTTGCCCGCTAACGAATTCTTTTTAAACCAGCCGGGCGACGAGCGTGCGCGAGCGTGAATATGCGTGAAGTTAGCAGCTATGCCAAGAATTTTGAATGACCATAATGACCTTTGTAGTACCTTTTAAACAAATAAAGGAGTTTTAATTATTTTTTTGTTAGCGTCGCAAGCCCACTACCCATTGATTTTATATTAGTTATAAGCTTATGTTTTAAACGATTAAAGCCAGTTGACACCCAACTTTCAAAGAGTTTCATTTATTTGAACATTCCTCCAACAACCGTCACCGAACTTGACTCAGGACAAAATAAAATATTTAAGGCACTATTCAGACGTATGGTAGACGCAGACGTTACTATAGTTACGTAGGTACGTATGGTTACTCCCCTTGGCTCTCATCTAGTAAGTGGCGTGTGATATTGATTATGGCTAAACACTACGAATACTGATTTGTTTTAAATCGATTTACCGATACCTATTCAAGATTTCAGGTTTTGCTTCCGAAATAACAAATTTACAAAATCTTATTCCGACTATTTTTTTAATATTGTATTGCGAAATAAGTTTGAGCCAAGTTTGAATATTATTAAATCCTTTTTCTTAGATTAAATGATGTGGACTTATTCCTATCTCTGACTTCATCCCTCTATAGCCAGTATTTTTATATCAACTATGCTGGTCCTAGATTTTTGGATTGTAAATTCACGTTTAATGAGTTTATATCGAGAAATAAAGCGTTGTTATTATAATGTAGTGGAAATGTAGAGGAAAAAGTAATGTACCTATGTATATAATTTACAATACTTTTATTTTATTTTTATGTTTATAATGTAAATTATAGTAAAGATGGATGGATAGTTTTGGTGTACTAGTGTAATAATCCTTGTTTTGGCGATGGGTAAGTCAAGCCTTTTTGACATAGTAGAAGCATTTCATTGCTAAAGTGTTTACCTACTGCTGCAAGACTAAGATGCATTTCTTAAGTATATATCCTTAAGTATGTATAAGAATTACACAAAATACAAAACCAATGCTTACCATGATAAGACGATCGCCCCTTTTTATGGTTAGCCTTGCAAGGGTGTAGCCAAGTATTAATTTTACTTGCACAATATTCAAAGCAGGGACTTTAATAGGCTAAGAAATAATAGTGTTGGGTGCTGCAATACTTAATTTAACTATAACAAATAGACTATACTATATATACTTCATTTTGACTTATGGAAGTCAGATATAGTATAAGATTCCCCCATATTGCTAAAGAGAGGCTTATTCTATACAATTGGTCCACGATATATTAGTCATTTGTTAATTTTTTTCAAAAAATTTAATCAGCCTAGTCCAAGTTTTTATATACAACACAAAGTTCAGAATTTCAGAGTTATAGTGTGCATCGATGGCACCTTGGTGTCAATGGTTCGGCCAATTCAGACTCAGGAAATGCATTCAATGCAATGTGGAAAACTATTAAATTAAACGAAATATTTTAATAATAATAATAATTTATTTATTGGAAGAATATGGTACAAAAATGTTAAGGTTCGCATATTCTGCCACACACAATGGCGCGCAAATTTGTCTTACACGTTGTTTTACATTATTATTAATATGTATAATAATTATATATTATACTAATATGTTCGCTTTTAATATAATCCATATTAGTCCGACTAAAATTTACCCTTTATATATTATATATAATGCAGCTTGATTTCCATACAGGGTCCTACTCTGTAACTTCCAATAATACTATGGCAAAATATGGCGTGGTTTCCCGAAGCGTCTTTGAAGTAGTGGTATCATTAAGTACTGTACATTATGTAGTTACAATATAAACAGGATTCCCCCATAGTGCTAACGAGATTGCTATCAGTGCTACGGATATTGAGAGACATCGAACTTGCATAAAAAACGGCAAGATCGGTATTAATGGAAGGTACAGAGTACATTCCTTTAATACTTTACTTTTTTGAATTTAATGTATCGTGTAACCACAAGTAAAAATTTATTTATTAATTTGGTCTAAACTATGGAGCGGGAGGGCGTTTGTTGTCAATTGTCATGTCAACAGTATCAGTATAAACAGTTAGATTAAACACAACAAACTAAACCGAAGTCCAAACATTGATAATTTGATATTACACTTATAAGAATATAATTTAATTATGCATATTATTGGAATTTATTTTGAGTTGTAGCTCAATGACAAACAATCAATACATTATTATCGCAACTCTATAAAGTTTTCAAGTTCGTAGTTTTGATGTTTCGAAGATGGAATAAATCTTAAGCTCCAATATGAGAACCGTACCGAAGTGGGTTAATAAAATCCACGAAGCTGATAAAATCGATTGCTCCAGGTGAGTTACTTTATTCAAATCAGTACTTATAGTAAACCTGCAATTGTACTGATATAAGCTTGTAATGTGTCTATAATTTGTTATTTACAATAATAATAATAATGTTGTTCTCTAAAATTGTAGCGTTGTGAAAGAACATACACAACGGTTTTTATAGTTGATTAGCTTTACGCTTTACTTTATTTTCAGTGTACAAACAATATGCTTTAGTCCTGATGGTACACAACTGGTGGTTGGTGCTGGTGAGAAAATAATGGTGTATGACCCTAAGGAAGGGGCACTGGTTCAATTACTTCAAGCCCACAAAGGACCAGTACATTCAGTGGATTACTGCAGCGATGGTAAAAAATTTGCTAGTGGTGGTGCAGATAAAAATGTAATCATTTGGAATTCTAAAATGGAAGGCATCCTCAAATATTCGTGAGTATTCATTCCACATTGTGGTGTTATGTTAATTTAAGTTTCAATTTAAGAAAGTCAAACACTGGTACTTGGAATTGGAACATAATTAGGTTTTTGTCTTACTCATAACTTAACTAAATATTGCAATTGTGTTTTTGATTTGAAATGTAAATTTACTTTAGATTGTTATAGTTTACTGCTGATAAACAAGCTGACATACTATTTTAAGTTATTTAAATAATAAAGTTATTGTCATAGAATTATATACCATTAAGGCACAGTTGTGGTCATAGTTTATAATATACTACCATCTTACCAATGCCCTGGGTGTAATGGTAACCAAGTGTGAAGTAATAATATATTAAAACATGAAATTTAAAATATGTTTTTTTTAAATAAGACACAACACAGTGACATGGACCTGCCCTTTACAAACATATTTTTGATTAAAGATAAACAAAAGTAGTAACACTGTATCTAATCTAATAAATAATAAGAACATAAAATATATAGAGTAATTGGTGAAATATTTTTTATTACAGCCATAGTGAAGTGATTCAATGTCTGGCATATAATCCAGTGACATACCACTTAGCATCATGTGCATTGTCCGATTTTGCTTTCTGGTCTGCTGATGTTAAGGCAGTTCAAAAAGTAAAAGTATCAGGGAGAATTACAAGCTGTGCATGGTCATTAAATGGACAGTATATAGCTATCGGCATGGCAAGTGGAAGAGTTTCTTTAAGGGATAAAGTAAGTATATATACTAAATAGTTTGGTTATGTGGAATCTCTATTTGGTGCAGTTCATCACAGTATTTAAATGCTTTTAAGCTTCAGGTTCATTTCTCAGCATAACTATTATTATTGAGTGTTAAAAGGCACATGCTATGTTCACCTACTTGTCTATTAAAAACTTATTTGTGAAAATATGCTCAATGACGTCCTCATTCACTTGAATAGAGAGCTTTGACGATAGTTAAACTAAACTAAATAAAATAAAAATAGCCTTTATTCGAGTACACTATAACTACAGTAAGTCCATGTCTTTTAAGTTTTTCACTTGTACTCGACCTCCGATGGAGTGAAGGCCTCCTCCAGATTCTTCCACTTATCCCTATTTGATGCGACAATTTTCCAGTTTTTTTCCGCTATCCCTTTTATATCATCTTCCCAAGTTTTCGGTGGGCATCCTCTCTTCTTCCCACTGGGCCCTTCCAAGTAAGGGTCTTTTTGACCCATCTGCCATCACAAATGCGGCCAATGTGACCGGCCCATTTCCATTTTAGCCTTTTTGTATAAGTTTGTAAACTAAACTAAATATAGAATTTAATTTTGGTACTCATTTGGGTCATTGGATGAAGTAAGAATTATTTTAACATATTATATTTTAGGCTGGAGATGAGTTTCAAAGGATAGAACGAGATGCTGCTGTTTGGTCTCTAGCATTCTCTAAACATACACTTGTGGTTGCAGACTGGACTGATACATTGTCATTTTATGATATGCTCGGCCAACAAGTTGCTAAGGAGAGAAATATAGGTATTTTATTAATTCAGGTTCCGTTTATACGATTATTAATCAGCTAATCAGCCCTTAGCGAATCAAAGAGAGAGAACCATACTGAGTCTCTACAGTAGTAGTATTATGTGAAAATATACAAAAATAATATAATATTGGATTTAGGGAATGCAATACCGAGTCGAGATCGTTAATGTAGGATTAAGAATTATAATCTCGAGTAGATTTGTTTCGAACAACGATGAAAAACGCCATACAGTCCTGACCTGGCGCCCTGCGACTTTCATTTATTGCCAAGAACTAAAGATAAAATTCGAGGTATTCGCTTTACGAGCCCTGAAGATGCGGTGAAAGCGACACAATGAAAGTATTGGCAACTTTCTTGATTAAGCCGTTTTTCATTTTCTAAAGATTTTCAGTGTTACCCTGGTACTAGTAGTACTAATCCACCAATATGCGTTATCTAAAATTGTATATTCCTTCATTATCTTAATGGCTTACTTCACTACTGAATGATGTTCTAGATCACTGATTTCATTATACATTTTATTAATGACAAGATTTTGGTTCTCTTAATGGTATGTTAGCGTTTGACAAATAACAAAAACCACTATTTGTTATGTTACATATAGCTGGAGCTTGTGCGAAAAGTGTATTGACCTGGCTATGGCGCGGATAAGCGAACAAATATATTTTTTATTTCTACGCGTCATTTTATTCATATAAATTATGTTTCTCATATGAAGTAATAATAATATAGGGTTATCCCTATATAGGTCTTGGCATCAGATTGCATTCCTTTCTTTGATCATTTTAATTTTATAGACAAGTATGTGCTCGGCCTTTTGTGTGACATAGTCATGTTCGTCTATTTTTGGATTTGAGACCTGCCGCTTTTTCTTATGTCGTATTCCTTCACCGTACGAGCGAATGCGCACTTATTCAGAAAGTCTATTGGTCGAACCTCGATCGAATTCGACCTCAGGGATAAGCAGTCGCATGCTGAAGTCACTAGGCCAACACTGCTTATTAATTTCAAGGATATTAAGTATCAAGATTATTACTGTCGAACTATAATGTGTTGTCAACATAAGAAAAAATCTAAATTAGCGCTGCTGCGATGTCAAATCCCGCGACGGTTATCTTTTCGCAGTTTAAATTTTGCTTTGTATAAATTTTACAGGTATATCAGCGTTGTCCATGAAAGTAGTGGAATCATTGATATTAGTTGGGGGCATTGGTGGTTGGGCAGTCCTGACTGCGGAGGGCATATCTGTGGTGACGACAGACCATGAATGGGTTTGGTCAATAACACCGTCACCAACGTTCAATACTTTGGTAAGTTAACCTCGGTTTATGAAAGAATAAATATTTTTTTAATTCGAATCCGTAGATTATTTATATGTAATATGTAAATCTTCTGTGCGTATGTTTGTATTTAATTCCCAAACGGCTGGAACGATTTTATGGAAAGATTTTTTGAAAATTTTACTAAACATTCTTGAATCCACTATTCAAGAATTTTTCGTACAGAACAACGTCTATCCACTAGTATTATATATATATATATATATATATATATATATATATATATATATCAATATACAGTATAGTAAGAAATTAAAATTATAGTTATCTGTAATTAGCTGAATGTCCATCCATATGACATTCAGCTAATGCATCCATATGTGGTACGGGTTAATCGACGGCGATTAGTAATAAAAAATGTTATAAGACTAAGGAGAATTGCATTGACAATTGACATCGTTGTAGTAGGGGAGCCCACGATGCTAAATGGGGATTTACTCGAGCGTCGTAGAGACCTATTGGGATGCAAAGCTTAGATGATAAGAAGAAAAAAATGTTATATGATATATACCTTTACATCGGTGGGGTAAGCGGCTATAGATTTTTTAATATGTAAAAAAAACTGTTGCATGGACATCCTCGAGCGCGTCAGATATTGATAGCATCAATGCCCTACGTATTTTTAATAATGTACGTATGTTAATCTGATCGTTTGCATGATGCGGGTGGTTGTATTTAAGGGTCGAAAATGAAAAAAAAAAAATTAATCGAGCGCGTCAGATTTTTTAAGGGAGTGTTAAGTGCACCAAAAAAAGCTTTCATTCACTAATCTGACGATTTCGATGGGAGCAAACCCGCGGCCATTTTCATAATGTGCAAAAAAAAATCGCCATTTTGAAATACTCAAGCGCGTCAGATTAAGATATATATGGTTGATCTTTATGTTCTAAACGTACTGTCTCATAATCTGACGATTATCTAGAGGGATTCGCCTGATCTGACAATTTTTTTTTTAGAAAAACGGTTCACCTTAAAGGCCATCCCTGCAACTTCCCGCTAATTCCATTCCTGGGCGCTTAAAATTGATATTTTGAGCTCGCTGAGTTCAAAGAAATAATATTTCTATGCATTTGAGCTCTCCCAGCTCGAAAGTCTGATAGAAGTTTCAAAGAACACTATTTTTGGAATTTTCAAACCACAATAACTTTTGAATGAACAAGCAATTTTCACGCGGTTCGCATTCGATGCAGTTTTATCATCCTCATCAGTAATTTTGCAATTTTAATTGATCGAACCACAAATTTCGGTTTAAGGAAATGTAGGCATCACGCAGCTGCACGCATTTAACTTTATCGACGAATTTTTGTTATTTCGGCTTACGAAAATCGTCAGATTATATATTTATTATTATTCTTGAATTATTTCCTTCAAAATAAAAAAAAATTTAGCTACGCTCGAAAATGTCGAGATGACGTTTTTTTTACAACTTTGTTGCCCTCCCCTTTTTTTACGTCACTCTCAAATTGTCAGATTAGTGGAATATACACTTTTTAGGATGTAATTAACTCACCCTACCTTAATCTGACGCGCTCGAGAATTTCTGATGGTCAATTTTTTTTTACTAATCTGATCCTGTATCCTTCACGGGCGGCCTCATGTTTTGTGGAGGTACTTAACCGGCTACAAGGTATCCCCCTGTATATTAATCTGCCGCGCTTTAGTAAATCCCGAAATCCCCGCTTGGGCTCCCCTACTATTGTTACTCAGTAAATCGTGGGAGTTTGAATGAGGATGAAAAAGTAAATAATATATCTAAAAAAAATTCAATGATATCAATATGTTTATAGGCTCTAGCTTGTCAAGATGGCAGTCTATGGTGCTACCAAGTTGTATTGAACACTGTACATGGTCTGTACCGGGATAAATATGCGTATAGAGAAAACATGACCGACGTTTTAATACAACACCTTACATCTGGGAATAAAGTGAGAATTAAATGTCATGATAAAGTACAGAAGATAGCAATATATAAACATAGATTAGCAGTAAGTATCAACAGTACACCGAGGCATCTCATTAAAGAAACATTAACATCCGTATTCTGATTCGTATCACAAGTCAATTATGTCAAACATGGTTTGATAGTTCCTGGAACTAGATTTGATTTCGATTGACGTTCTAGAATACGAGACTAACGAGGAAAGATAAAACTTAGTATAAAAAAGGTCGCGCAACTTATCTCACTGTGAACACTCGGACAAGACTTTTGACCACAACATTGATGTTTTATGACACCGTTGAATATATGGATTCCGTTCAAAGGGAATACATGTAGTCATTTTAGGCTGTACTTAGTGGTATTCGTATGGTCCTTACATCTATTATGGTCGATCGCATAAAAATTTATTATTGTTCACGTTTAGTGCACTCCGGCGAGCGCGTACGTGCTCCGTCCGTGTACCGACGCGGATCCATACTACTGTGTACTGCCGCATAATACTATGTTCTGTGAAGCACTAAATGTCTACCTACATCCCATCCGTATAGCACTAAATGCAGCCTTACCATTCGTTATAGTTGCGAGTTGTCTTGAGATCTTTTAACTGCAACTGTATTTTTCTTTATTCTACTGCTCTGCTAAGTAATACAAATCAATAGTATTGTCGTTTATATCAAGACTTACTAAGCATTGAGACACCATTACAATATCACTTTAGGTGATGATGATGAAAATAATACTTAAAAATCTAACTTAGATATATATAGTCGCAGTTAGTCATTCGTTTTTTTATTTAATAGTACGTAAATAGTAAATATTTTATTAACGCATTAAACTTGTATAGCTTAAGTATTTCTATATTATTTCAGGTGCAATTACCAGAGAGAGTATTGATTTATGAGCAAACTGGTCCAGACGGGATGATGTATCGTGTGAAAGAAAAACTTATGCAGAAGGCTGAATGTTCATTACTAGTTGCTACCAGTGAAGCACTATTAATTTGTCAGGTAATATTTGTACAATTTACTTATAAATAACGTTGCCCTGTACACACGTCTTAATACAGAAAAAAACATGTAATTGTAAATGTAAGCCATTCTCGTATCCACACAAAAAACAAAAATTTTCTACGGTCCAACGGTTTAGGCGGAGTTTATTATATATAAACACGCACAGATTTATGTTTATAAAGATAAATTTTGTGTATAAAATAGTATATTTCATTACAAGTGCGGAAAGCCTGTCATTGCAAAGAGTTTCGACAAATGTCTATTGTTGACTATTAGTTGACTGTCGGAACAAGTTGCAATGACGGTTCCGCACGTGTACTGAACAACTATTTTTAATACAGTTGCCAAAAAATTCTGCAATTTAATAAAATAATAAAAAAACAATAAACTCAACTCACTAATTATTTATTTCTTATACAAATTATTGTTCACATATACATTGGTACAGTTTTTTATACTAACTGGAGAAGTTTTAGGTTGCATATTTATTTACTGTTTGAGATAAACTATTATTTATTTCGTATGATTATTCTTGTATATTTAATATATAATATAACAAACAACTAAACGCGCAAAGAACATTTTTGGAAAATGGCGCCCACCGCAAAAAAATATAAGCAGATATTTTTTTTTTCTTATTGATATGAAATCAAATTTAATGAGATGAAATGAAATCTAACCTAACTCATTGAATCAAATCATTAAATCTTATATTGAAACAAAGCAGTAGCTTCTTTTTAGAAATATTTGCATGAATCATAAAAATTTCTATGAATTTTTTTTAGTAAAAACTTCGTGGTTGGTTTTTTCTTTTTAATAGACATTATTTTGACAGTTAGGAAAGAAAACGCACTAGTTCGGGAAAGGTTAAAAAAAAGCACGAGTGTGTAATAGCCCACATCCCGAACGCTATACGTCCCTGCAATACGCCACTTTTTGAGCAACTGTATTAAAAATTCATTTAAAATGTTATGTTTAGTAAACAAAAGCGAAATATACAAAATATCATTACAAAAATATTGTTAACGTGACAGATAATTATTAGATTTTAAAATTTGAGGCAATTTTTATCATATTAAAAAAAAATGTAATATCTTTTATTCGTAATAACGAATTGTGGGGTAGATAAAATACCCAACATTTTGTATTAATTTATTTATTTAACGTTTTGGTACGATTACAAAAATAATATAAAAATGTTAACATAGCCAATAACATGCCATCAAGCGCACTGACTCACGTACCACTCGCAGGTTACATGCGTGCACGCACGTACAACGATTAAATTATTTTTAAAAAATTCAAAAAAGAAAAAAAAACACAGTGGCGCTACAAACTTTTTAGGTCTAGGCCTCAGATTTTTGTATCTGTTTCATAATAATTTGTTAATCTAATAGGCAAGTAGGTGAACAGCCTCCTGTGCCTGACACGCCGTCGACTTTTCGGATCTAAGGCAAGCCGGTTTCTTCACGAGGTTTTCCTTCACCGTTCGAGTGAATGTTAAATGCGTACATAGAAATAAAGTCCATTAGTGCTAAGTCGGGGATCGAATCTACGACCTCAGGGATGAGAGTCGGACGCTGGAGCCAATAGGCCAACACTGCTCTAAACAAAAATTAAAGTTTCTAAATTTTACCGCCACTTTTCAAATGAAGGGCGTAGAACGGACGATAGGAAGCTATATAATAATTAATTACTATATAATTTGTGAGGCTGTACTGTATCCAAAAGAAAACAAACTCTGTAGTAAAGATATATTATGTCAAAGTTTTATATATTTTACAACTAACATCATAACTGACCTCGATAAATAGAAAAAATATATTTTGATTCATTACTTCCTGTATATATTTTATCATATGGAAAGAGGAGTGGGTATAGAGTAAATGGGGCGTTGCATTCCGTTTTATATAGCCAAGCTCAAATGAAGCTCGAAATACGTGCTTGTCCCATCATTAACGTCCATTGGGGTGTGACTGAGAAAATAAGAAATGAGACTGAAAGTAGAATAAATGCCGTTGAAATGAGAGCGTTGCATTGTGTGATTAAACACGCTCTTTACTGTGGTATAAACAAGGACGTAGTGACATGGATACGAAAGGAAATGCTTTAATTGGTGGTTTAGTCATGTAGGTCGGATGAATGTGAAGCGGTTAACAAACGAGGCAACCGTGGTTGCGTGTTGGAAACGTGGTGACGTCGGGTTGGGGAGGGGATGTCGTACATACCTACCCTTTAGCTTTGCATACACTGGTAAATTGTTCAATATGTTTAACAACACTTATATTTTTTATATTTAAGAGTGTCACTTTAGAAACTCATAAGTTAAGTTACTGTTTTTGAAGTGAAACTTCTTTATCGGCGTTGGAAAAAAAATTACGTCACGTGACGTCGTCACATTTTTCCGTTACGCGTCATCTTTTTCTTGTTCTGCGATTTCGGATCCAGTTTATTCATCATCATCTAATCGAAAGATTTGTTGTTTGTGCAGTTTGCCTACCTGCGAAAACTAACTTCAGGCTTATCGCAACGTACTGTTATTTATATTGAATAATTTTTTTCACGTTATATTTAATTAATATTGCAGTATTATGTTTAGTTATAATAGAAATTATGCTTTTAAATCATTATTATTTATGTCAAAAACCGTGTAGTGCGTTCATAAAATGTATAAAATTTATATTAAAACCAAAAATATATAATAACGATAACAATGATAGTAATAATATTACAATTAATGAAATTCTGTAATAATTTTAGTAGTAATAAGGTAGAATGAAATAATTATATTATTTGTATTCTATTTTATCTATGTCTATGATAATAAAAGCCGTTTTTTAAACTTTATCTAAGTTAACTTTATTTAACCAATTTCTGTAAAGTTGCATATAGTAGATCATTGTTCGTAAAATAAGGTCATTAAGAAGTTTCACTTTTACGTGTGTACACTAGTACACGCATACATTTTTTTGTTAGTCCAGCGTCGCAACCCCTAATTTTGTGTTATAAGCCCTTGTTTTAAACGATTAAAGAAAGTTGACACTTAGCTTTCACCAAAAAGTTTCATTTATTTGAACATCCCTCCAACAACCGCCGCCGAACTTAACTCACGTTAATGATTTTTTTTAAATTTCAGGACACAAAATTGACGATGGTCGGGGTTAATATACCAAAATCTTGGGAGTTACCAACACCAATTCGTTACGTTAAAGTAACTACTTTATGTTTCCAAGAAGTATTACTTTTAGGTCTTCTAAATGGCGAAGTAAGTATTATATATTGATTAAATGGAATAAGTAAATAATATTTTAAATTTATATTAACTTACCTTATCTCATGTCTAGGGAAGCCAGGCTCCCGAAATATAGTTCTCAGTTATGTAAACAGTTATGCAACTTACTAGAACTTTGTTACTATAACTAGGTATAGAATGTCTAATTTGAGAATTGTTGGACTAGTGGCTAGTACTAGTGTGCACCAATGGACTTTCTGTCTTTGTGCGCATTTAACACTCGCTCGTACGGAAAAGGAACATCGGGGAAACTTTGGTCTGGTTGATCTTGCCACTTAAAACAAATGATCACGAAACATCCAGAAATACAGGCTCAAAGCAAAAACTTTATACTGTTTTTTTACAATAACACAAGTAGTTGAAGTTACAAATACTAATATTTTTAATTGAAATATTTCAGATATGGCAAGTTGAGGTCAGTACGGGCAACTCCGACGTGTTGTTGACGACTCCGGCGTGTGTACGATGCCTTGACATTAACGTTTCGAGGACGAGATTGGCTGTTGTAGACGAAATTTCCGTTTGTCGAGTGTATTCATTGCCCTCAGCTGAACTACTGTATGTTGTAAGTCACGATTTGAATAATGTTTGTAAAATAAATTATATTTACTGGACTGTAATGAAAATTTGTAAGACTTTCGCCGCTTAATAATTTTACAGAAAATTTACGTGCGTTGTCGGTCGTTGGCGTTGTAAATTGTAGATAATATTAATCCAAAGTTAAGAAAGTTTTACGTTTATTCTAACGAATTATTGTTTAAAGCCGTTAATAAAAGTTGTTTTTAATTAAACATATAAACCTAATTATTAAATTTAATTTATAATAATATGGAGTATAAGTGGTGAGATCTATAGTGCGCACTTAGACTTTGCTCTGACTTAACTATCGAGCTAAGACACAGTCGGTATTTATAGAGCAAACTGCGAATCTCTCCCTAGTGTTGGCTTAGCTTAATCTCAAGTCCACGAAATCGACGACTTACCAAAAACTTTGACTATAAGCCTAACAAAAATGATGGCCCAAAATTTGCTTTACCATCATATCTTTTACTGGACTTTTTATTTTTGTCGGTTTTTAATGAACGGTGTTGCCATTTTGTATCGGAGTTCCATAGACTTTGGGAAAAATAGAATTTGAATTCAAAGAAATTATAAATGATCTTGATAAATACCTATGAAATGCATGAATTAAAATAATTACACATTATTATGGTATTTATTATTGTTTATTTATATTATTTATGTAATTGTTCAAACCCCATTTTTGAGAAATCTTAAAAATAACTGGTGTGATTTTGTATGTCACCTGGCAGCCCTGGCATATTATAGTGACAACGAAATTCAAACTATAACCTAACCGATGTCTCTCGCTTCACATCTGTTATTTTCGTTTCCCTGAATCTTCTACCATTTATTACCTGACTACTCTAAAAAATTTGAGATAGGAGTGGAACATATGAAATTAAAAAAATCTGTTGGAAATAGAATTTCTTCAACAAAAATATAAATTAGTATTAGAAATATGTATTACACTTAAAAAAAAGAATCAGAAAATAAATGATTAAAATGAAACAAGTTTTGTTTTGATATTCTTTATTACCAAACAAATTACCTAGTTAAATTGTGCAATCACAGATTGCCGGAATGCTAGACCTGTAGGAGATCTTTAATTGTTTCTGTGTTACTCAACTTCTGCTGTCAGCAAGATCACCATCATCATAGGCATCCCCTCTCTGTATACCTATATTATGCAATACAACACAAGCTATAATTATATATAACTAGTATTTGTCAATTTTGACTGTAGTCCTAGCTGTAAACATGGAAATTTCCTTTATCACACTCCGAAAAACCTTTAAAAAATATGCCTAGTTCTTATTTGAGAATAATTATAAATATTGTCAGCTCTTGTCATTGGATTTAAAAGTGTTGTTAACATGAAGTTAAGTGCTGGATAACCGCTGTCACCTACTAAAACAGGCATTTTCTAAATATCCTGCTGTCGTGTGAACTGCCAGGCCACCTAGTCACTATAGCAAATATTTCCATATCAGGCCCTATTATTGCTTGCACATTTACAGAAAAATACCCTTTTTTATTTCTGTATGCTTCAGAGTGAGCGATACCTTCGGGTCTATTAATTTTTATATGGGTGCAGTCAATAGCTCCGATTATACTGTTTAGGCCATGGTGAGTATTAGATCTTTCTAATTCTTCAAACTTCGTTTTGGCTGTGTTCATATTTCTTAGAAAATTTACAAATCTAGGAAGTAATTTACTCAACTCTGCAGAGACTTTATTTATAATTAAACAGACTGTAGATTGGCTTTTGCTGTTCAGATCACCACACACCATCTGTAATGTCAATAAATTATTATTATATGTTATGTTTCTGAAAGTCAGAAGACAAAAGTCTTCAACATATGTATTTAAAATCATTTGAGAAGAGGTATAATATATCAAATTGAAAAACCATACATATTTATGAACACAATATTACCTGAAAACATCCAGTTCCGAACATATACTTTAGGCATTCGTGGATTCATATCGGCTGCAGTTCCTACCCTTTCAATGTTTTCTATTGAAGATAGAACTCTCTCTCTCCATCATGTCACTTTCGATATTGATATTTCCAAGCGGTCCATGTAACAAAGCCAAATCACAAAACGTCACAGTGCTTCGGGAATGCGTAGGAGTTAAGTAGGTATACGATCCAGATTGGTCCAGGTCCAAGTCACAAAGCCAGTCGTTGTTTTGAAGAAAGTTAAATTTAATATTTATAAGCTCATACAAACAGAAACAAAAAAGAGAAAAAGTGGTTTAAAATTTTCAATTGTTGATACAAGTGCTCTGTTGCTGTTGTCAAAACATTGCGATCCGTTCTACGTAATAAAATTATTGTCATCTTTAAATAATTAATACATTTTCTAAAGGTTACTCGTAAATTTCTAGTTATTGCAATAATAAAATAAATGAATACATAAATTGAAGATATATGTGTACCGTTTTAGATGTTTAAATATTTGTTATTGTTTACTTTTTTTAAAGGATAATAAACAAAGTATTGCATGAAATGAAACATCAATTTGTATTTTGACATTTTCTGTCTTAGCTTGGGCTTAGCTTAATCTCACCGTTAAAATGTCTATAAATACGAAATCATAGTTTAACCTTAGTGTACACTAAGCAAAGTTTTTCGTAAGGTAAGTCTGAGCAAAGTCCAAGTGCGCACTATAGATCTCACCCTGAGTGGTCTTAATAAATATAACAATGTCAATAAAATATACCAAAATTTATATCTTTAAAATCAAACATCAAATACACAAAAAATATCCTGCATCGGTACTCTCTAACTTCCAATAATAGTGATTTCGATTTCAATATTAATGTGTTTTATGTGTAAAAATCTATTGATAAAAAATATTATATTATTTAAGAGGTTATTTAGTAATTGTATAAGTCTACATTGTTATCTGTAATTTTATTTTTTTATAATTTAGTTATGCACTTTTTGCATATTTCTTTTGTCTTTTTCCTTACAAGGGTTGCCTGGAAGACATCGCTTGTAAGGTACAAGGCCGCACTTTGCCTCCTTAATAATTTATTTTATCTGAATGTATCTGTATGAACGCACAAAGTGTTAATAGAAAAATAAAAATAAATTGTTGTTGGAAAAGTTTTGGGAATGCAAGATGGAATGCATTTATAAAATGTTACTGGGGAGTTACGGGCTCCTGTAATACAGTTTATACTATACCAGGTACCTGGGATATGTTTTATTTTTATGTAATCAGTTTAATATGGCAATAAATTATGATTATACCAAAACATCATCTATTAAAAGTTACTGAGTACCGCTGATTTTTTTACATTTCAGGAGGAAAATATATCATCTGTGTCATGGAATTTATGGTTTGATGATTTGCTATGTTTGTCTGGCGGTGATCTGCTTTCGATAAAAGCTGGGAACTTTCCGGCTGCCACACAACCTCTTAATGGCTCCGTTGTAGGCTTCCAGGTATAGTGTCTTTTATAAAAGTAGACTTTCTATTTTGGGAAATAGGCTATAATTTTTTATCCAAATAAAATTTAGATTTGGCATGATTTAATTGAAAAAAGTTAGAATTTAAACAGTTTAGAGCAGTGTTTCCCAAGGTGGGGCCCACGCCCAACAGGGAGGCAATTTGATTGTTAAGTGAACAACTCTTTTTTTATATACCTATAAATTATGTATGTTACAAAGGGTAGCATAAGAATTTGAGGTAGGCTAAGGTGGGGTATGGCACAAAAAAGGTTGGGAAACACTAGTTTATAGCAATTTTTATTAATATGGGTATAAAAAGTAGAAGTTTTCTTTAGATTTTAATGAAATCAACGGGTTCGATTTATTCGAAGTATTTACAAGCAGCCAATAATGCTTCTTCCGAATTGTATATATTTCAGGGAGGTCGTGTCTTTTGTCTCCAATCGAATGCGATGCAGTCCATCAATGTGCCATTGTCTCACGCCGTTCATCAGTACGTCCAACAGAAGATGTTCAAGTAATTTATTTTTTAAATAAAGAATAGTTTTATAACAAGTATAATTTTTAAGCTCTGGCCAGGCTTGAGCATGCTTATCCCTAGTGATAGGTTCGATTGGATTGGATAGGACTTTGGACTTTTCGCGCATTTAACACTCGTAGGGTGAAGGAAAACATAGTGAGTGAAACAAAACGCCTTAATCCCAAAAAGTAGACGGCGTGTATCAGGCACAGTAGGCTGATCAACTGCTTGCCTATTAGTAAAAAATGATCTGTTCACTGAGTTTTTTTTAAACTTAAAATTTACGAATCTCTAATCTAATCCCAGATATATACTTGAACTTTCGTGCATTCATTTGTATGCACAGATTAAGATTTTTTTTAAATTAATTTCAAAAGTGACCAGTACTAAAATTAAAATATCTTATCCTGTCCTTTAAATACATTTCGTTACGTATATTATGTTCTCTCCAAAAATTGTTATTTATACATAGTCATAACTCAATTACTTTGATTAAATTTAGGCTTTTCCTTCTCTTTCTCAATGTTAACGGAAAATATCTGTACACGTCTCCTTTTTTTAAAATCGTAATACGATTTGAATGCTTTTTAAACCGACTTTGAATAACGAAGGAGGTTCACAATTCGATTTTTTTATAAAATAGCATGGCTCAAAGGCCAGCAACACATTCGAAAGCCGCCCGGCTCTGCAGGTCCTTGGCGGTTATTCAAAGTAATTCCATAATTTTTTTTCCAGTGAAGCATATGCCGTGGCATGTCTCGGGATAACAGCATCAGATTGGGAGCGACTTGGATATGCTGCTTTAGAAGAGTTAGCATTCGAAGTTGCTCGGAAAGCCTTCCAAAGAAGCGAGAATATTGTTTTTTTAAACCTTATAGACCAATTACAGGTTTGTTTTATGTTTCTAGGTCCCATTGGGAGATATTGCCAAGCTAAAAAATCATTAAAATTTTATTTATTCAGTTAAAGTCTGCAAATTTCAGAATTTTAATTATTTTATCAAGTCAAAAATTGTAATTATCATTCCGACGGAAAAATCCAGTTCACAGATGTTATAAATGTTGCTATATTTTTAAAAATTTTAGGAACGTCTAGATAATGGCGAGAGTAAAGCAGTGATTTCTGGAGATGTATTAGCATATAGAGGAAGATATGCTGAAGCGGCAAGATCGTATCAAAGCTTGGCACGAGGTGAAAAAGCCCTCGAAATGTACGTCGATCTACGTATGTTTGGAAAAGCACAGGTATTTAAATTTACCCTATTTATCACATAAGGAATTATACGTAACGAATTTTATGTCCTTTTGTAAAAAAGTTACGATGCGGGGCAGGGATTGAATTACGCGTTATTGCTAATATTATTTTCGACTTTCCAGTACTTTCACCACATAATGGTAACTTTTAGGTATAAAGAGTCACTAGGTAGTATACTTGGGTACAGAAAAACTTTACGGCGCGTTACATGGGGAGGGGGGGGGTGTCAATAATCTTCAAAAATTGACGTGACGTAATACTTGAACGCTCCCTAACACAAATTTTATACAACCCTGAATAGTACAGATTCATCAACTCTTAAAAAGTTATCAATAAAAACGCTATGTTATCTATTTCGTTACAGCGAATAATATGTGCCCTTTTTAAAAAGATAGTTCTAGCCATAGGCACATGTATAGCCGCATGATGTCAGCTTCTATCCGTACCCACCAGGCACATTGAGGATAAGACACTGTTGTACTGCCAAATTGCTGCTCTTGCCATGAAAGAAAAATATGTTAATTATGAAATATAAGATACAAGTATCACGTATACCACGTCATTAAATTTGTATATGTAGACATCCCTACTCATCGGCAAAGAAGACCGAGGGTGTAGGCCGAGAGAAAAAGGCGGCGTACTAAACTCTCGGTACTCTTTTCAAACATGTAACAGTACTATTAAGTACATCGCAAACGTGAATTCTCAGCGTCCTCTGAGCTTCGTGTAGCTCACAGAAGTTTGAATTTCCTGGACAAATTTCAGGATTGCCTTTCTTTTATAGAACAAGGGCCAAACGGGTAGGATACACTTGATGTTAAGTGATACCGCCGTCCATGGACACTCAACGCCAGAGGGCATGCGAGTGCGTTGCCGGCGTTTTAAAAATTGGTACGTTCTTTTTTGTAGAACCCGGAAATACTTAATACGCCTAAAAAATTTACAGATTTTTGCTGATCTTTTTCGGTTATTTCAGGAGTTTGTCAGCGAAGGTGAAAGTTTGACGGCGTTGACACGTAGACGTGCGGAATGGGCGCATCGTGTTAACGAACCACGTGCCGCGGCTGAGATGTATCTCGCTGCGGGTGACGTACGGAACGCGGTGGCCATTTTGGCTGAGAGCGGTAAACGGGACATGTGAGTGTTGCAAATTTGACACAGTATAAAACTACTTATAAAAGTAAATTTTATTAGCTGTGCTCTAATTCAGTCGCAGCACGATGTTCTAATTTGATTATTTTTTTTGATTAAAGTGTATTTGTGAATGGTTTATTTATATTTAAGACGTGTGTACAGGACAGCGTCTGTCGGGCCCGTCTATTATAATTATTATTTGTACCAGGCTTATAGAATTGGCTCGTAAAATGGACAAGGGCTCGAGTGAGTCCCTTCGGTATTTAGCTGAAGCGTTGGTGACTACGGGCGAATATGCGACCGCTGCAGATGTGTACCAGCGTCTTGGAGATTATAGGTAATGTTATACCTTATATAAACTAATGTTATAGAAATATTTTTACGCCTCGTTAATAGGTCGTTCTCAGGTTTACTTTTGCTTTGGATTCTAGTCGAAGGCTGGCTTAGCTCCTTTGGAGCGTGTGGCTCACCCTTCCATTTATATACCCTAACCCATGCAAAATAATTAAATACAAAATTAAATAAGTATTTGTGGCGGAAGGATGGTGTACTGTTCCTCAAAACCTAAAGGAAGGATTCTCAACCAGTCTAAAGTGTTAAGTGGCCTAAAGTCGAGAAGTATGACATCATCGGTGGGCGCTGATTGTAGATATCGTTGCATGGATAAAAAATAAACTACTACTAGTAACGTAAACGAGGACCGTTACATTTTTAACTGATCCTGTCGAAGCTTTGCAACTTCTGTATATATTCGTTTATTATTAACAGGAGAGTGGCTCAATTGGTCGTGAACGCTTGCGAATGGCCGCGCGCGTTCGAACTTGCACGCGAACACCCAGAATGCAAGGAAGATGTCTACATACCTTATGCGCATCAAATGGTGCAGGAAAATAAATTTGTTGAAGCTCAAAGAGGTATTTATTTCCACATATAATTATTTATGTCCAACGACTACTATGTGGTTTCCAATTCGACTTAGGGTAAAAAGAAACGTAAAAAGAAAAGACCAAATCTTAACAGGTTGACAACGAACTAGCGTTCTTGTGTTCACGGGCGGTGTCTCGTAACATAAGTTGAGGTTGCGGCCCGTTTTCCCCCTGTTCTATCAAATCACAATACCTAGATAGTTATCTATTATATATACTATACTAGTAATATTTTTTGTATGTTAGTAGTTACTAAATATTCACCTATATATAATAATAAATTTCCGTCCAAATTCTTCTATAAGCTTTCCGTATTGTATCTTTAACTGGGTGTCGTTATACGACTATAACGAAGAATGGTTTCGAACCAGTTTAGTTCCTAAGGCAAACGTGTTAAATAAAAGACTTTATAATATTAAAAAAAATACAAATATTAATATAATTCCTATATATTGTATAATATAGATATTCTTTTGTCGTACTTTAAGATCGTATTATTTTATAAGATATCTAGTTATTTGTGTATAAAATATACAAATTCAGGAAACAAAGCGAGGGTAAGAAATAGCAAAACTAGTGTAAACACTAAAAATTCTAACAAGCTATGTGACTATTCAAAACGATAATAATAAGCTAACATTTGTGTTCCGCGCATATGTGTGTCATCAAATATCCCTAATTTGAGATACACATTTACATCTACGAAATACTTCATTGGAACTGAGTGTACACGGTAAAATACTGCGTATATATATATATATATATTGAGTTTAATTTATATAGAAGACTTATAATAATAGGTAAATAATTGTGTATATTTTTTTTACATAACAGCATATTATATGGCGGGCGAAACTCAGACGGCAATACGTGTTCTCAACGTGCTCGTTCGAAACGCAGCGATGGAAGAGAGATTTAGCGATGCAGGGTTCTTGCATTACTCGCTCACGGCTCAAATATTGGAGATAGCTGATGACAGGTAATAACTGAGCTGTCGTGAATGTTTTTCGTCTTTATTATTTTACCTTGTATAAAACTTTTAATGGTTATATGTACTGGTCCATATTTTAGAAGTATTTGTTATGTAAAATAGACCACAAGCCCATGAACAAAAAATACCTGTGAAATGACCCAACCTGAATTACGCTTAGAAGGCTGTTACTATATCTGAAAATAGCTCTGAGCACTATGCCGTCATTTCTGAGCGGTACATGTGAGTACGTGAGTGAATGGACTTTCTCATGTACAATGGGGGAATTTCGACTAATTATTAATGTACGGCTTTGTTATAAGTGTATAGATGATTAAAAATAAATGTCGAAAAACCTAGTGCCGTACAAAAGTGATGGTGCCGGAAGTCGGTGCAAATTTTTAATTCGACGACAGTTGCAGGAGCAATATAGGTCATTTATTACTGTACGGCATTTGTGTCATTCCTTTTGGACACATATACAGATACTTTACCCGTAAACGCCGTACATATTTCCAGCGGAGCGGTCGAAAGCCAAGGGTAGGGAACCCTACCCCTACACCCATATACCCTAAGGTCATTGTAAAATGTACGGCAACATGTTCAAAATATTATTTAACACGGACAATAATGTTTTATAATTATGCCGTCCAAATATTATAGTTAATATTTGTGTTATTAAATATTTATCGAAATTTCAGGATTTACCAAGTTCTTACTGCTGTAAGATCAGAGAATAATGTACGGCAACTTGTTTTTTTACATAATGTTACTAAATATTACCGTTGTACATTATAGCCGTTCATTATAAATGGTAACAAATAAAAATATTATGATAAAAAATATATGAAATTTCCGAAATTTAGATGACTTTTCAAATGCTCCTAGAGTAATATGGGGAGTAATATTTTCAAAGATTATTGTTATTTTATATGTAACAAATATAAATAAACAAAAAAAAACCAGATGCCGTACATTTTACTCCAGATTATTCTTTACAGCTGATAAAAACTTCTACGACGTTTGAGGTGTCCCTTAAGGTCATTAATAACTGTACATATCTGAGTATACTACCATAAGGCTGTAAAGTATATTTACAGCCTTTTCGTACCAGCAGAGAGAGGTAAAGGAAAAATATTTTTAACAAAAATATATATAATACAGGGCGTCCCAAAGTTATGAGACATGAAGGGAAAGTACCTTAAATATCGCAGATAGGGTATTTTACTAAAAGAAGACTTTATGTTATTTATAAAAGTTAGTAATTCTGCATTCAAAGATTTTTTTAAAACTACTTGCCTCGTCTGGAAATCGAACCGGCTTAAATTTAAAAAAAAACACCCCTACTTTTATGATGCCAATCGAAAGAATGGCCAAAACCTAATAACTTTTCTAAAGTAACAGACTCGTAGGGGATTTTTTTAGGCCGAATACGATAGATAATGTTTTTAATTTGATTAAAAAGATATATTCACGCTGTTCCTTTCTTTTAAAATACTATGTTACTTAAGAAGAGTTATTAGTTTTTGGCCATTCTTTCGATTGGCATCATAAAAGTAGGGGTGTTTTTTTTACATTTAAGTCAGTTCGATTCCCAGACGAGGCAAGTAATTTTTTAAAAATCTTTGAATGCAGAATTAATAACTTTTAAAAATAACATAAAGTCTTCTTTTAGTAAAATACCCTATCTACGATATTTAAGGTACTTTCCCTTCATTTCCCATAACTTTGGGACGCCCTGTATTGGTAGGCGGTGGTAGCGGACTTTCGAAAGTGTACGGCATTTATCTTTTATTGAAGATTGTCTAAAGTATTAATAACCTGTGTTATTGCCGTACAGATAAAAGTCACCGGAAAATGACTCTTTTCTGAGAAAAGTAATTTGCCCCATACACCTATGTGTTCCACAAAAAATGTACGGCATGCTGGAAAATGTTATCTATTTGTGAAGTACTCTCAAGATCATTTAATTTTATGTTGATTCATATCATCATCACCTATATGCTAATCAGACATATGTTGCGACCCTTGGCTTTCGACCGCTCCGCTGGAAATATGTACGGCGTTTACGGGTAAAGTATCTGTATATGTGTCCAAAAGGAATGACACAAATGCCGTACAGTAATAAATGACCTGTATTGCTCCTGCAACTGTCGTCGAATTAAAAATTTGCACCGACTTCCGGCACCATCACTTTTGTACGGCACTAGGTTTTTCGACATTTATTTTTAATCATCTATACACTTATAACAAAGCCGTACATTAATAATTAGTCGAAATTCCCCCATTGTACATGAGAAAGTCCATTAACTCACGTACTCACATGTACCGCTCAGAAATGACGGCATAGTGCTCAGAGCTATTTTCAGATATAGTAACAGCCTTCTAAGCGTAATTCACGTTGGGTCATTTCACAGGTATTTTTTGTTCATGGGCTTGTTATGTAAAACTGTTCTTCACTGCAGCCGCTTAGCTGATTTCTATTAATGATGGCATAGCCTGTTTTCGTATAAATAATCCTGGTTCAAGAACAGCAAATACAACAACCAATCATCGAAGATCATTTTCTTTTTATTTAACGCAAGCGAGGCTGCAACATCACCTAGTTGATTCATAAATATTTATATAAGGCAAGTAGGTGATCAGCCTTTTGTGGTTGACACATGCTGTGTCTAAGCCATGTCGGTTTCTTCAAGATGTTTTGCTTCACCGTACGAGCAAGTGTTATGCGCACATAGTCCATAACCGGGGATCGAACGAACGAATGAAAGTGAATAGAATACTGGTCTTTATTGCTAAAGCAACTATTATAAATATATAAAATCATATCTACTTCGACTGCATACATTTCGTACAGGGATCGCAGTACACTGATGCATCAGTATACGCACAATGACCGGTTAGCTCGTATGTATCACGCGTACGACAACGTACACCGATGCGTTCACGAGCCGTTCTCTCTCAGCCAACCAGACGCGCTACTAAATGCAGCGAGATATGTACTCGCATTATTAGACGGAGAACCACCGCCTGGGGTTTCTATGTTGTATCCTTTTAAAATAATAATTGTCTGCCCTTTCTAACGTTTGGTACGTTAGAAAGTGAAGAAATTTAATGTTGCTGCAAACTGTCTGATGTTTCAAAGAATAGTAATCGAATTGTGGTATGTAGTGCACTATTGGACAATTATTTTTTGAATATTTTCAAAATAAATATAGCCATTGTAACACATGGATGTATTCTTGAAAGTATATTTGAGACATGTATTACAAATTAAAAATATTTATTATTTATTCGTTACTTTATATTTCCTTTTCGTGTGTTAACGGTTAAGCTATTTATAATTTATATATATTATCATTTAAAAAAATCAAATACACAACTACTCGCAATACTCGTCGAGCGAGTTCGCTTATCTTGCCGAAGCCGCGCAATTTATTTAGTCAATTACCCTCTAAAATTCGTAATATTAGCGTGTTTAATCAATTCAAAAGGGCATTCAATATACATATTAGAATAAGCCTAATAGACTTAAATTGGGATAGCTAATTGCGACGCGTATCTTGTTCGTTCGTATATTTATATTATATTAAGTTACTCATGTGAATAAAAATTACATTTTTTGTAATGAGAAATATCTTTAAACATCTGACATTATCCTGGGAATACGATTTTATTGCTAAATTTTTTAAAACCTACTTTAAAAAAAGTTTAAGAGCGGTTTAGTTGATATTTAAATAATTTTTATAAGCTTTTAATCAAACGCCAAAAACTTTTTTAAACAATTAGGCACAAACGAAATACGCGTGGAATTTTAAACCGCCTCAGGGGTCGGTGTATACTGTAAAATAAAATCCTTTATTGCTAAAAATATATGGTATAAGGAAGATTTGAGATCCAATTGGAAGCTTAAGCTTCTGCTGTCTTAAATCTTCACTAATCGGGCTGAAACCTCGCATTTAGATATTTAATGGATTATATTATTGTGAGTTATGCTGTTAATTTGTTTTCCTTTAATCTGCTTATGCAATATTAACCACAGATTGTTTTTGTGTGTTCACTTGTGTTCTGCAGGTTTCCTTCATATTATTTCAATAAGTTCAGTCTTGCATTATCTTTCTTAATTAAAATTAAATTTGTTTAAGTTTTTACACGATATATATATATTATTGTTCGTTTGTCCCGCTTAAAGTCTAGAATGGCTGAACCGATTTTTTATTTCAGTGGAAGTTCAGGGAAGGTTTAAACGGTGATAACGGTAATAAAGATGTGTAATTTATATTTAAAAAAAATAAGTATATTAATATATTGTTTTGCTGTCAAATATATTATAGATAACGTCGTTCGGGTCCGCTATTTAAATATTCACCTTTTACCCTTTTAACAAGGCATCGGTTAGGTCAACTTTCAAAAATTATATTGACCTTATTATTGGATCCAGCTGCCTCTACCTCTGCATGGCGAAACAGGCAAAAGTGTTGAATGCAAACTTATTAGCTCGAAATATGTTGGATAAAATTTTAGGCTTACAAATTCCACAAAAGTTTCAGGTATGTTTTGTCTTTAAATCGCACGGAGTTTAATTTATTTGATGCTATGAATATTTTAAATAACAGGGAGTATTATGCTGTGTAAAGTAGCGCCTGTCGCAGTATGAGTTTATTTCTAATATAATTAATGTAACTGTTGCTAGAGCTATGTATGCAAGAACAAATAGGGAGGATGTTTCAGGGTTGAAAATATTAAATTTTTTGAGTTTGGAGTGTCGAGGTAAGGTAAATTGTCGGTATAATCCTTGTTTTGTGAATAAATTCGATCGTGCATATGCGTAATAATGTAAACAATAAAGTACATTATAGATAACCAGGGTTTTTTCATTGCGAATATAAGCATAGCCGAATCGTTGTGTGTATATGTATTATTCTGTGTTCATTGACATGATCTTTAAATAATAAGTTTTTGTGGCCTATTAATAACAGTAAACGCCCCAATGTTCCATTTTCAAATAAAATAATAATTGCCTTCTGGCGATTGTTGATTGTTTTTATTGACGTTTAAACCACTGCATATAATAGTAATATTGATAAAAACCAAAGCCTTTATCAATATGAGTTTCGTTTACCTTTGGTTGTACGATACTCCTATAATTTTATTACTGGAACATAAATTTCTTGTCGAATATTTTACTTAATAATAATTTAGTTAGTTTGATTGATATTCATGGACAAATGACTTTATTTATCGTACAAACCTCATTCAATTCTCTTGTGGCTTTAGTTTGATTGTGTAGTCGTGGTTCATGTTTTCGAAAGCTATGCGCGAATCTAATCACTTATTATAAATAGACAAAATATATCTTTGTAATAATTACAGAAACAAGCTATTTAAAGATTATTTATTAATAAGTTAACATACGATTTGTTGGTACATAGTGTTTTTAAAACTATATCTAAAAGTTATCAACTAAAACCTTAATGAGGATAATGGCGTACTACAAATAATGACTCTTGATTAAACAATCTTTAACTTAGTAGATTTGGGAATTATTAACTAAACTCTCGACATTTAGTACAGTACCAACTTCATTTATCTAATCGTAGTGGGCCATGTCAAAAAAGTGCCTATTGACGGGCGTCATGCTAACAACTAGATTCATTAAAGCTACTTTAATAGGAAAGTGTAGAACTCCTGATGTTGAAAAGTGGCGGTTTAGTTGCAAGTGAAAGCCCCGAAGAGGAAGTCGCACCTTTGTGTTGGCGTTGTCGCAGACATACTCCGATGTTTGCCACTCATTGTCCGAAATGCAACCACGCCATGGCCCATTCATTGGCTACTCATGGTAAGTGATTCAATTTTCAAAACCCACTCCTTGCTATTAGTAGTGTATATCGCGTGCTTTCTAGATCGACGGGGTCGGACATCGGATATTTTTTTTAGATGATGTGATCGGTAGTCTGGTTATTATCAGACTGTTTTCGTGCTATATACCAAATACCGAGCAGTGTTTGCCTAAAGGCTTAAGCGATTCTCAATCATAATCCCATCACGTCTGTGCACCAATTTTTTCTATGTCCAGATTTACAGCTCGCATAGTGAAGGTAAACGGCTGTCCTTAGTATGTTGCCATGTATAGTAGCGTAAACTTGCTAGAAATTTTATGTTTTTATAAAATATTGTGTCCAGCCACGACGATCACGACTTTGGGATTAACAATCGCACGTAGCACTAAAGCTCACGCTGCTCGTCACAGTTATGTACGATGAGCTCCATAATTATATGTTATTATTAATTAACCTCTTAGAAATCCTGAAACATAGCGCTATTATTGGAATTTTGTGTACGGGGGTCATCGATCGCACTGCTCGTACGCATTCAATTCCTTACGGTGTTCCGATCGTTACCGGAAAATTATACTTATTTTCGTAAGGTGTTTTTATCTAGTAAATTTTAATTCAATATCATACATTTTCTGCGTATATTTTACTGTAGATGCAATTGTTCATATACGCATATAAAAAAACAAGGAATAATCGTTTATCGCGGACTTTGATTCTTTACTCGGTTACAAAACCGTAGGTCCGCGTCGTACTCGGGCCTTGTGCTTTTACAACCGCCAACATAGTTTAGCATTATCTGATTGGCAGTTTATATTGTACCACATCATCTAACCACGTGTCGGTCTCTACTACTCGTTACAGTCTACTCGTAGTCTTCTTCCCAGTTTGTATTAAGAACTAGACGTTTTACAGAGGTTCTGCCCTTAGTACAGTTTGTACCAGCTGAGGGTATTACATATGAAGAGGCCATGGACTTGATAGATCGAATGCTTTTACCCGAAGAGAAATGCGATGATGGGGCGGAGATACTTAAAATTAACCCCGAAATTGATTCGTCAGATCCATTCCTGGATAAGAACGACGAGGTAACTATAGAATTTATATTTTCAGGCTTACTCTCCTTATTAATTGGATTTCAAATATAATCTTTTGAGAATACTGTAACATCACTTAAGTTGTTTACTAAACTTTACAATGGAGTTTAAAGTGTTAATAACTATATTATCGTTACTACTTTACGCCTTCATACCGAATAATAACGCGAAAAGTTCTTCACACGCTTAACAAATCAGTGACCGTAATGTAGAAGAGGGAAAGGGTAAGATTCAGAAATGTGACTTAGCGCGAAGTAATACTCCTGTCTGTCAAGTTTGTATTGGATTTGACAAGCGGGAGTCATACTTAGCCCTGAGCTTCGTCTATAAATCACACCTTAGAGGCTGTCAGAGATTTTTCGTTTTACATAAAAAGTCAATTTTATCAAAGGTTTTCTTGCAGGATGATGACAGCGCAGTTGTAGTTTGCTGTCGAAAGGCCTTGCTCCAACTGAATCCTTCTGCTGTGGTGGTCGTGAAGAAAAACGGGCTTCCCCCTGTTTTCTATAGAAATATGCTACCCGAGTTGCCTGTCACAACATGCGTTTACTGCCAGAATGTAAGTTATTTACTAAATATTTACAAAGACGATATTCACTATTTATATATTCAAACAGCATTTTTTAGACATACTAATATTCTTATGTGTGTCCTTGTTTATTCTAGAGAAGCTGAAGGACACATTTTAGAAATTACTGTTAACGTATTAATACTAAAGTGTTAATTAGCACCGTCTTAACTTTATGTGTGGTTTGTGGTTATCTTTAACTCAATTGATATAGGATAATGAGAAAATTCAATTCTAATAAATGCTATCTTCTTCCTGTATAAGGATGACGATATAATTCAATTCCGCAATTTTTTACATATTTTAAGTCAATTATTTAAGTAGTCAATATATGTATTTAATGACTGCGTACGTTGCAGTTATACTACATGGAAGACTTCGAGATACAGCTCATAAATAAGGGGCATTGTGGGTTCTGTAGACGTCCCACTGATGAGGATAAAAATCAGGAGAATGGCATACATGACAGTTCTAATAATGACTCCAATGCATCAACTCCTACTAGCCCCAGCAATGAACATGGATCGTGGAGATAATTTAGCGGCTTCTGCCATCATTTTTTTATTGTAATTTTAGAATATATTTATCCAGCAACTGTTTCTTTGATTGTTTTTCAGTTGAATCGTTATTTGCCTAACTATTTTAAATGTAAGGGTTTGTCTTTGCACAGTTTTGACCTAAGGTAGATATTTTGGGTAAAAATTCAATATTGTGACATATGGGAGTTAATTAATTTATAATTGTAAATGAAGTCCTGCTAACATCGGGTAACCAGATGTTTCAGCTAGAAACAGATAATTCGCCGAACCTAGAACCTTTTCGTTTACCAAGCAAGCATTTGATGAACAGCATATTCCTATGCTCAGCTGGTTTATAAAGCTGAAAAATGTTGTAACCCCTATTTGTAAACGTATTATAAGCCCTATATAACTATAGAATGTTTCCTAATCATTCTAATGTACACAAAAGGAATTTGCAATATTCTGCAGGATTTCTACAAAAAATACTAATTGTGTCCTTTGTTTTTCTGTGTTTTGGCTTATAGTATTTTTATAATTCGTTCTTGTCCCAACTTTTTGATACAGTAGATTTATTGTGCACTGTCAATAAATTTTGTGTCACATTGTGTAATTTAATATTGAGTACAAAATTTTTCGATGTTTTTAATGTTTCCACTCTGTAGCGATACCTACAATACTGGAATCGGTACGATGACTTCATGAGTACCCTCAAACGCAGTAACATTCCGCGAGATCTTCTTGGCCTAAGCCAGTAGGGCCTTTGGACCTGTCAGTCAATAGTTAGACGGGCCGAGGATCCATTTTAGGGTCGGAAAAATCGTACAATAACCTTTTCTCCACAACTGAATATATATAATCTATAATACGACGAAAATACCTCCGTTAAGAGTAATAAAATGTTTTATTAGAAAGACGTTATCCATTTTATATTAACACGAAATTTTAATGACTACGGCCCTCACGTCAGAAAAATTGCTACCTTTAATTGAAATAAATGTATTTATTTATTTCCTTATTTTCTATTCTTACAGTAACTTAATACTAATACAAAAGATAACGTATTAATATAAAAATTAAGCTTAGAACATAATATGTATAAACAAAACAAGAAAACATAACACCTAAACCTTTTTATAACTCCATAATAAATAATGAAATTCTTGTGAATTCAACCTGTGTGCAATTAAATGTGCCTTCAGGTCAAACTTTGCTTTTGGTTTAAGTTCAAATAGGTTTAAGTTCAAGCGAGCTCACCGTAGGAAGTTGTAATAATGGTAGGGGAGCCCACGATGCTAAATGGGGATTTACTCGAGCGTCGTAGAGACCTATTGGGATGCAAAGCTTAGATGATAAGAAGAAAAAAATGTTATATGATTTATACCTTTTCATCGGTGGGGGAAGCGGCTATAGATTATTAAATATGTAAAAAAAAACTGTTGCATGGACATCCTCGAGCGCGTCAGATATTGATAGCATCAATGCCCTACGTATTTTTAATAATGTACGTATGTTAATCTGATCGTTTGCATGATGCGGGTGGTTGTATTTGGGTTGAAAATGAAAAAAAAAAATATCGAGCGCGTCAGATTTTCTAAGGGAGTGTTAAGTGCACCAAAAAAAAGCTCTCATTCACTAATCTGACGATTTCGATGGGACGCAAACCCACGTCCATTTTCATAATTTGCAAAAAAAATCGCAATTTTGAAATACTCAGATAAAGATATATGTGGTTCATCTTTATGTTCTAAACGTTCTGTCTCATAATCTGACGATTATCTAGAGGGATTCGCCTGATCTGACAAAAAAAATTTAGAAAAACGGTTAACCTAAAGGGCCATCCCTGCAACTTCCCGCTAATTCCATTCCTGGGCGCTTAAAATTGATATTTTGAGCTTGCTGAGTTCAAAGAAATAATATTTCTATGCATTTGAGCTCTCCCAGCTCGAAAGTCTGATAGAAGTTTCATAGAACACTATTTTTGGAATTTTCAAACCGCAATAACTTTTGAATGGATCAAGCAATTTTCACGCAGTTGGCGGCATTCGACGCAGTTTTATCATCCTCATAAGTAATTTTGCAATTTTAATTGATCGAACCACAAATTTCGGAGTAATCCCGAATAAACACTTTTTCGGGTTTCTTTCGTTCACGATATCTCTCGAACGAATCAACCGCTTTTGACTAGCTTAGTGGCGATCAACGTGGTTTTTCAAGCTCTAAGGCGGATTAGTTTTTGAAGTTGATCGATACAGAAACTACTTTAAAAAAAAATTTTCTTATTTTTTTAAGATTTTTCAAAATTTCTCAAAATCTATCGGTCCGAATCGGTTCAAATTCACAGGAAATGTAATTTTGAGGGAAATATTTAGAACGCCGTTTAGTAGATTCCGATCGGTTTAAGGAAATGTAGGCATCACGCAGCTGCACGCATTTAACTTTATCGACGAATTTTTGTTATTTCGGCTTGCGGAAATCGTGAGATTATATATTTTTCATTATTCTTGAATTATTTCCTTCAAAATAAAAAAAAAATTAGCTACGCTCGAGAATGTCGAGATGACGTTTTTTTTTACAACTTTGTTGCCCTCCCCTTTTTTTACGTCACTTTCAAATTGTCAGATTAGTGGAATATACACTTTTTAGGATGTAACTCACCCTACCTTAATCTGACGCGCTCGGGAATTTCTGATGGTTAATTTTTTTTTACTAATCTGATCCTGTCTCCTTCACGGGCGGCCTTATATATGGGCCTCATATTTTGTGGAGGTACTTAACCGGGTACAAGGTATCCCCCTATATATTAATCTGCCGCGCTTTAGTAAATCCCGAAATCCCCTCTTGGGCTCCCCTACCATAAGCTCTTAAAATAAATTATTTAATAATTCAAGTATCAATCAAGTATTCTGTAGTAATCTATAGATACTATTACAAAAAAGAAATATTAAAGAGAGATAAAAAAGTTCATTTGGTCTTAACTCGAACACGAGGTATCCTCTGTCTTTGTTTAGAAAGCATGTTATATATACATGCTTATTGCATTATATATAACTCTAAATATATAGAACACCAAACTCGTTTTTCTATATATTCAAACTTTTTTTCTTTTTTTTTTAACTACAATTGATAGAGATTTTCAAATAAAACAACCTCCTATTTTTGTATAAAATTTGTGTTAATTTAGACGTTAACTTTATCTGTATGTTTGCTATAAAGATCCGTCCCATCGAATAAAATGCAATTCAAGTTTGTGTTTTTTTTTAATAAAACCCTTTAATATTCAAGCAATTTTTGAGGCGCATACGGAAAGGCTTCACCGTATGCGCCACAAAAACTCGCCACCGTGTGCCATAAGTATTTAGGGTTCTCACAAGTGACAATATATTATTATTTCATTTTATTTATATTTCAAGAAACCCTAAAAATTCAGCACAAGGCCAAATACGCAGGTGTTTTTAGATATTTTCCATTGATATTTTAAGGTGGTTCTGTGCATTTCAATACAACAAATTATTGCTTATTATAAGCTGAAAATAAATTAGAATATTTTATTATGTTGTCTGTTTATGAATGTTTTTAAAAACAGTTGTTATTAAGAAATCATAAATTTATGGTATTAAAAAGTTCATTAACGATAAGCTATGCCCATCAAAAAATGTTTATTTCTATATAAGAAAGGTAAGCGAAATTATAGTTATGTGATTGAAACATAGCTAGTGTATATAAGGAATAATAATTTATACAGCCCTAGTAACAATTGCTTCGCCAGGCGACAAATGGGCCTTAATTACTCCGTGATCATATAACTTTGTTGGGTTCACCTGTGAAATTTTTGTATTTTTTCTCAGCGATTAATCTAAAAGTGCTAATTAATTAGCTGCTGGTAGATGAAGTTGAAGCATTTGAGGCATTCAATACAAATTGAGAAAGAATAAGTACTGCATTTTCAAAATATTTTAATAAAGTTAGCCTTAGTTTAAAAAATATTCATATATAGAAATATCAATAGGACAGCCTAACAGATTATATAAAAATTGTTGAACAGGAGTCGAACAGCCTTCAAAAAGCTATTAAGGTATGTATGGTAAATCGACAATCAATATTCGACAAGGAGTATCTACGGTGGGCAGGTGACGCGTCCGACTGGTCGTTTTGGCGAATCAGGGACGGCAGGTGCGCTGGCGCAGGTGTCGCCGCGATCTCAGCGATATCGATGTACAGGTTGCTGTTACTGATAACTTGCATATAGGTACATTGTTCGAGTATAAATAAAATCTTAGACCAACTTTTGCAACCATTAGGCAATATACATTGTATAGCCTCATTATATGATTGTTAATATTTATGAACCCTATGTTATTATTGTTATATTGAAGAAAAAACATAAATAAATCCGGTGTTTTTAAATAATTTTATTACTTCTAAAATTACTTGGAACATTTTCTAATACGTACTTAAGTACGTAATCAATATAAATAAGCAATTGTTTTGTTACCTACAAATTAGCCTTTTAGTTAATTTGGAGTCGATTTTACTATTTTTAAAGGAATTGATTAGTACGGAAAGATGTTGATGTAAGGCCCTAAACACATTTTAGAATGATATAGTAACTGTAGGTGAAGATGAGAAAAAGAATATACACAGTGGCAGAGAGCAAATATGATCAATTTCAGATACTAAGAGTTGTTGTACCTACACACTCTTTTTTCTTAAAAGTTAATGACGTAACTAAATAATGTTATAAAATCAGTAGCAAGTACTTTATTAATTAATTTAATATAAAAAACTTATAAGACAATCACATCATATTTATCAGTCAGTTCCTTAGATGTAAAATATTTGAAATATGCCAATTTGGCTGAATAGCGCCAAGCTCAGGCGCTGGATTGGATGGTTCTTTTAGACTGATCGCCTTTACAACATCGCCTGTTCCTCTTGCGATTACATTGAAGTGAAGCTTTATTATACAAGTAGCACTTGGTAATTTTCTATTCTTTAAGCCTATTAGGTACGCCTCT